AACAGGCTCTAGTGAGGAAACTGAATATGCACAAAAATATGGCAAAACTCCAAACACAAATGGATCTTGAAGAAGTTAGCCTAATGAAATGAAGGTCACTGCTAACGATATGTAGTCCAAGGATCAAGCAAAAGAGCACTTCCACATTCTAGGTTGTAATTTATATGCTGTCTTCAGCGACTGCCTCTAGTTTGTGCCCACGTCAGCCATGGTTGTATTTGTGTCAATGATTTACCATTATCTTTACTGTCTCATTTGTTTCAATAAATGAAAAAAGAAAGTTTCAAACACGCATCCTAGTGGCAAAAGCTTTGGTCTCCATGAACTGGGGACTGCTACTTCTAAAACTAGTATTACTTTGTAATCATGGTCGTAATGAAGAAGAATTAACTTGAGGATTTTGATTTCATATGGAATTTAGATTCTAAAATATTTGGTGATGATGATTTAAGCATTTAGAACTTGCACCGGTGCAACCTGAAACTGCTAAATGCAACTTCTTACATATATCAACTTCCACCCAGTGCATGATAATATTTTAAGTTCAAAGAACACAGACTTCAGCTGGAAGACAGATTGATGAGGAACTGACGTGGAACAGTGACTCTGATTATTGTAGGAACAGTGAATGAAGGACTTACTGCTCATGAAAGTTTAGGAAGTAAGATAGCTACAGATTTCTTTTGTCATAATACTGTTCCAAACCATCTTTACCAAAGCTCAAGCATTATGCAAAATTTTATATCAAGCAGCAGGTGCAACATGTTTTTATTTGGTGCAACAAGTTAATTGTCTTAGGTTGCACTCGGTGCAAGTAGGTTCCATTTCCTTAAAAGACCACTGCAAGTTTTTTCTCAGAACCGGTATATTGGGTGATAAAAATATATAAAGTTTTGTGATAATCTCTATGGCTTAAGTTAAAATCTACACAGACTAAATTTCATAGTGCTGTTTTTACAGCCATAACATTTATATTTAAGGCTTTATATGTAGACAATAGGCTCTGCATGTACAATCAATAACACTCATTGTCAAACACTGAAGCTCACAATACAATTTATTTGCCAATACGATGCTCTAAATTAAATTCAAATGGCTACCAGGAAGGAAATTTGAGGCTTGAGTGAGTCAGAGAGTTACTGATTGTCTGAAAACCCTTGACAAGTGAAAATCATAAACTTTCAGACATGGCCATACATATACTACTCACACTTTGCTAAGGATAACAAAAAATCCCAACTGTACTTAAACATAGATTTATAATTTGAAATTGTATCCACTTAAAATTTGATAAATAATATTATGGAAACACCTCTTTAGACAAACAGCCACTTTGATCTAACCTTATGCACTTGACACATGAGTAACCATAAAAATGGTTTTCATGGCACCAATCAACCATTTTGCAAATCATGGAATGAGTCATTGACAAGTACACAACACCTGTCAATAGCAGGCATGGGGTCCACAAGATGCAATGACATACTGAAACCTAGGATCCATGCTTACAATAAGCTTAGATATTTAAACCAAATTAGATCCCACATCATATTTTTGTGTGGAATCAATGATTTGATCCTCAGCAAAGTGTGAATAGTATATTTCATAATACTCAGAATTCAGTGTAAACATTGCTGCACAAATATAGTCATGGACTTAATTTACCATATCATTTTTTTGTATCTTTTAAAATCAGATATAAAGTTCAAAGTGTAAGTTAGTTACTTTGTGCAATTATGATATTTTGACATAAACCAGGGATACTCCACAACAGGGATAGGTCACTCGCTTGCTTTCTTTACCATTTGTACTAATTAACGTGTGCCTCGTCATGCTCCAACGCACACAGTGACTTGGTTCGGTCCCTGGCTGCATTTAACAGTACTTCAGCCAGTGTATTGTATAGGTCGGAATTTTACAATGAATGAATGAATGAATTAAGAGCAAGAATTTTATGTGAATGAATGAAAGAAATTAAGAAAAAGAACAAAAGAAAAAGAACATATGTGAATGAATGAAAGAATAAATGATACACCACGGCCATCCCTCCCCAAACATGTTAAAGAACGCAAAACTATCGGTAGAACACATGTTAACATCAGCTGTCCTTTTTCAAAAAAATTACTTTGAGACATTTTTTTACATTAGTAACTAATTCAGATATCTTATTGCATGTGTGGAATGACATGGGCATTGACAGAATGTTAACTGACACTGTCACAGACCCCTCAAGAACAGAAAGTTTAGAACTATCACAAAGCCTTGCAAACACCTTTCCAGTTTTGTCAAACACTAAGATCAACAAGAAAGAAAGAAGTTTTAGAACTATAACACTCAAGCATCCACAAGCACCAATGGTATCAGAACAGATCGGTGATATGTCATATTTTCACACACCTCAAATACACACTAACAAAAAAATAATTAAAACTATCACTATTACTTGCAAAACACTTTCACCTGATGGTATATTCCCCTCATAAAAATTAAAGGTGTATTTGAAAGATGTTTTGAACACTAACTAGAAACACTCAAACAACTGTAGTATTTCAATGGCAGATCGTGATATGTCATATTTTTCACACACCTCAAATACACACTAACAATTTTTTTAAATTATAAAACTATCACTATTACTTGCAAACACCTTTCACCTGATGGTATATTCCCCTCATAAAAATTGAAGGTGTATGTGAAAGATGTTTTGAACACTAACTAGAAACACTCAAACAACGCCCTGTAGTATTTCAATGGCAGATCGTGATATGTCATATTTTCACACACCTCAAATACACCCTAACAAATTTTTTTTAGTTATAAAAATATCACTATTACTTGCAAACACCTTTTAACTAAAGGTATATTTCCCTTCTAAAAATTAAACGAATATGTGAAAGAAGTTTTTAGCGATATAATTTAGTCTTTCTTAAGCTGTGTACTGAGAATTGAAGCCAGTGAGCTACAACATGCCCACTTGAAACTTTACTACAAAGCTACTGTACTTATACTGACACTAATAACAAGTATTTGACTTAAAATGAAGTGACAGAATAGGTAACTTATCTTCTACATGTAGGTTTTCAGTTGTCACAACACTCAGCGTATGTAATCAGCTGTTGAAAATAAACCGGGCTCAATCTTAAAAACTACGCTGCCGCCATATTGGCTGCACTGGTCACGTGACGAGCCGAGGCATAGCTTAGGAGCTTTCCGAGGAGTGACCACTCCCTCTTATAGAGTCTCCCTGCATAAACACATAAATGCCAAATGACAGCTATGATGTTCACAAAATGAAAAACGTTTACATTATTATTAAAGGCACAATGCCACACATTTTCAACAATATTTTGACCTATATTTTATATATATTGGGGCATATGCACTCACTTTAGCTTCCTATTGATGCACTAAAAATTCTTATTTATAATATTATCCCTTATGAAATCTGTAATTGTAACTTTGAGGCAAATAGCTTCCAAACAGAGAACACTTGCCATATATGGAATGTAAGCAATTACTCCGTACATCGAAGTTTGCCGAACTGGTTTCAATCACAAATTGTGCGTAGGATATTCGTAAAGAGAATTCCAAGGGACATATCTCTATGGGGTTCACTTGAAATAATGTTTGGTGGATAGAGGGCGTGAAAGACGAAATAATGCAATTTAATATTGTAATCTAAATACGTTATTTTTTGGGAAATAAATCATATGGTAGCTCCTCTGAGGGACGATAGTTAGTATCATTGAGAGAAATGCATTATTTATTTTTTGAGAAGTGTGGTGTGATATAGTGCCTTTAAGACAATACAGTAGTATAGCAAGATCTAACAACACAGATTTCAAAGTTTACTATTTTCTAAAGGATCCTTGGTATGAAAAGAGAGGTCTCTGGGTGACCAGTGTCCAAACGACAATATGTCATCGTGGATCTGGGTAGTTAAGAATACAATTCAGTCATTTATTAACCTCGTTCAATAAATCGATCTCAACGGTACTGAGCATACTTCTTCAGAAAGCTAATCCATGACCTAACTCATAAGGATCATAAAGTAGTACCTCTAAATCTAAGGATCAGAGCATCCCTCTACATATTTAAGTAAGAACCACAGTTGGCAGCCTCAGCCAAATAGCCCTGCAGTAAGCTGCGTCTGGTAAACAACCTAGGTGTGCTTCCAATGTTCCATCAACTGAGTGATTATTAAAAGACTAATTTTCGAATTTTCAATTATTCACACAAGTATAGTCAGACTCTGGAGTTCCATGAGTACCAACTGCTGTGGCCCAAATCGATTTGTTGATGAGACCATTAGGGTGTGGAATTGCTTGCGAAATGACTTTAAAAAGTTTATCTATACTGATTTTTCTGCAGGCTTCTTTGGAACTGCATGGTCTCGAATGCAAATGTTCTTCTTGAATACATGAATCTCCTCTGTAATTTCCTTTTATTTCTTTTTAATATTTTAATGTAAATATATTTCTCTTTTTCTCATGCAATTTTGTCATTTCAGTTGCTAAATACTGTTATGCCTAAAACAGTTTGGCAAAATAATAGCTCTAAAGAGCTGAAGGTATTTTGTTATGTGTAATTAAAAAGTTCCTTAACATTTCTGGAATCTTGTACCCTATCTTGTATCCATAGTCATCTTCCATGCATATTTCCCCAAGGCGAAATATTACTTATTAGCCTCCTGTACAACCATGTTTGCAAGGCTGACATAAGCCTGCTGAGAATTCAACTGGTACTGAATGTTATTGTCAGAATGGTTTGAATAATAAACAAAATACAAATAACAAATATAACCAGATTTAAACAAAAAACACTTTGGCGGTGATATACTTTCCAAATAACATCGAAATAACAAACTGACAAAAGTGTCTGTACATTGACTCCACTGTGGAAGACGCACCCTTTAAAAACTGCGAAATCAAAACACCTCCTTCGGCGTCAGCGCCTTCATCACCCATCGCAGCTACGAACAATTGCACTTGTCTACCTACCTGCACCAGTTCATTGATGGTGATGGGAGGACCTCGCTCCTGTGAATCAATGCTCATTTTAGCTACTGTCGTCTACAACATCCATGATAATCCTGCTGCTTTTGCCTTTCCCTATATCAACAAAATGTCAATTTCAACCTCAGCGGAAGTACAATTTGCAATGTCAACAAAGATGCTAGTATCCTGAAAACTATTTACGTTTGTGTTCAACGGATGTATTCACGTCAGGCAAGGAAAATAGACAGACTGGTGTTCCGTTAAATGGTGAGGCTTGATTCACCAAAATTATATTACAGTCTACTGGGTTACACAGAGCAGTCCTGAGTATCGGGTCGACTGACACACATACATTTATCGGCCAGTCTCACCCAGGGACGGTCTTTTAGCCAGTCTTAGTGACTAAAAATATTACGTCTCATGGTCAGTCTGAATCAGTGATTCCACCTGATGTTCGCGAAAGGGGGGAAGCATGTCCTGCCCCACCGATAACCCGCCAATCCAAGCAAATTACATCTCTGAATATATGGTCTAATTTTGATAGTAATCAATTACAAGCCCATTTATATTGAAAAGGAGCCTAGCACCTGAACTGAGGAAATCTAGACTTGCTCTTATTTAGGGCTTTAGCCTGTGAGATGTGTAATCAGTGGACTGTGATGACATATGTTGATATTTATCATTGTCTCTATGATGTAATCAGTGTGTCTGTGATGTGATCAGGATGTCTCTATGGTGTAAGCAATGATTTTGTGATGTAATCAATATGTATCTGTGATGTAATCATTGTCTCTGTGATGCAATCAGTGTCTCTGTGATGTAATCATTGCCTCTGTGATGTAATCAATATGTTTCTGTGATGTAATCATTGTCTCTGTGATGTAATCAGTATGTCTCTGTGATGTAATCAGTGTCTCTGCGATGTATTCAATATATATCTGTGATGTAATCATTCTCTGTGATGTAATCAATATGTTTCTGTGATGTAATCATTGTCTCTGTGATGTAATCAGTATGTCTCTGTGATGTAATCAATATGTCTCTGTGATGTAAATCAGTATGTCTCTGTGATGTAATCAATATGTCTCTGTGATGTAATCAATATGTCTCTGTGCTGTTATCAGTATGTCTCTGTGATGTAATCATTGTCAATGTGATGTAATCATTATCTATGTGATGAAAACAGTATGTCTCTGTGATGTAATCAGTATGTCTCTGTGATGTAATCAATATATATCTGTGATTTAATCTTTGTCTCTGTGATGATATGCTATTTCAGTGTAGCTCAAATAATTTTCATGAGGTGAGTTTAGGATAGATCTTTGTAAAATTTGACAGGCAAATTTGAAATCATCTCTGCTCTGCGCACATAATTTCAGTTCAATTTTCCGACCACTATTTAACTAATGACATCACATTTATCAACTTACGTATAGTCCCACAATGCGCAATCCCATAGGCCGCCAGTTAAAGGAGTTCACGGCACTGTACATATGTTGATTAAATTGTTGCCATTTGATAAATAAGCAACGGAAAATTAAACAGAAATTATGTGATTGTAGGTAAGATGACTCCTCACAAACGTACAAAATTTGACTTGAAACATACGAAAATTAAATTCATGAAAATTATTTATGCTACATTAAATTAACATATAAGTCTAAGGAAGTTACGTCAAGTGTCCGAATATAACTGGCACGGGTCTGTACATGTATCTACTTGAATGTGCATGTTAGAATCGGAACAATGCACACAGTTGTATTGCTGCATGTAGCTAGATAACCATTTGTACGATCACCTGATACAGGAATGAATAGCCAGGTCTTCGAATGGCATTTAGAAGTGATACATATAAAGAAGAGAGGGCTTTCTTTACGTATGTTAACTTCTTTATTAGGAGGACAGCGTTTCGGAGTATATCCTTACTCCTTCATTGAGTGGAGAATGAAGAAGTAAGGATAAACTCCGAAACGTTGTGTTCCTCATAATGAAGAAGTTGACGTCCATAAAAAATCTCTTCCTAATGAATAACAAGATGACCAGACAGATCACATTGACCTGGGTCAGTTCTTGCTTATCATGGAGTGAGTTAGTTTTCATGTCATTCTGACAATATTCCAGTAATATCACTGCATGGGAAACCAGTAATGGGCGTTTACATTGTACCGATGTGAAGAATTGAGGCTTCGAATGTACACTACGAGGTTATGGATTCAGCAGATGCAACGTCGTCCTGTTGTTATACAAAATTAGTTGCTTCGTAAATAGTACACAGCTCTTCTGCACTGAAAACCATTAATTGGTCCCCACTTCCGGTTATTGCAAAAGTTCCCGAAATCATAGATCTTTTTGCAAACTTTTCGAGTTTTTCGCGTATCCATTAGTTTGCTCATAACCTCCACCCATAACTGCGCCCATTATGTCTCGAGTAAAGCAGCCTGCAAACCAGAAACGCCTGACAAACGTTGCAACTGTTCGACTAAAGAAGGGTGGTAAGCGATTCGAGATAGCCTGCTACCCAAATAAGGTGACGTCCTGGAGAAATAAAGTGTACGTATTTGTTTTAATTTGTTCGATAGTCGTACTGACAAGACGTTCCCCAAGATTCGTTTTACCACCTTTGGCTAGAATGCACTTTACCGGGCGCAGCCCTGCTGCTCCTTTACGATCCTTAGGGTTAGGTTTAGGGTAAGGGTATGCCACCTTTACTATCCTTAGGGTTAGGGTAAGGGTATGCCACCCTTTACGATCCTTAGGGTTTAGGGTGAGGGTACCCTTTACGATCCATAGGGTTAGTAAAGGTTAGTGCACCCTTTACGATCTTTTATTAGGGAACCCCAGCAGTAATTTTCCTCTAAAAAGTTAAGGCATTTTCCGTTCAGTTAATGAGTTATAGGGCATGTATTTTTTTTACTTTTGGCATTTTCCGTTCAGTTAAGGAGAACCTGGCAGTAATTTTTTTTTTAAAGAAAAAGAAAGAGTAATAACGAACCGGGTAAGACTGCCGCCCGTATCCCCTAGATTTTAACGATAAGGAAAAAATTCTCTGAGTGGCATTTTCAGAAGTTGGATATGTCTTTCAGGATGTTAAACTACAATTAAAGAAACATGTTAAAACTCACCCTTATCAGATGAAGTATATATATTCAGGTGATATGATTTGACTAGAATGAAATTTAAGGGGGGATATGGGCAGAAGTCTTTCCACCCATGATTGTCGTAAGAGGCGACTAACGGGATCAGGTGGTCAGACTCACTGACTTGGTTGACACATGTCATCGGTTCCCAATTGCGCAGATCGATGCTCATGTTGTTGATCACTGGATTGTCTGGTTCAATTATTTACAGACCGTCGCTATGTAGCTGGAATATTGCTGAGTAAAACTAAACTCACTCACTCACAATGGCATTTTGCATATATACCTGATAATATATATGATGATGTATGTCAGTCTGTGAAATATTATTTAAGCTTCTTCTAATGCAGACTTGATCTCATCACTATATGGCTGAAATAATGCCGATGTGACGTAAAGCCCTACTCAGCTTAACTCAGTAAACGTGACCCTTAGTAACACATCAATTGTATCTGTTTTATTTATAGGGAAACTGATATTGATGAAGTTCTTCAGACTCACACTGTCTTCACCAATGTATCTAAAGGAGAAGTTGCTAAGACTGATGACTTGAAGAAGATCTTTGGAATAGATAACCATTCAGAGATATGTCTACAGGTAATGAAGTAACAAATAAATGTACTCATATATGCATGTGTCACTGCTCTGAATTAACAGTCATTGAACATGCTGAAAGAATCAAAGTCAAAATACTGTAAACTGTGGGTTGACATCTGTATAAGACGAAGGTGACATCATGAATCATGGTTCAAATTTTCATGAAAAGTGCTTTTCACAGACCCATAAAGATCCGGGTTAGAATTGGTCTTCAGCCATGATTGCTTGTTGATGAGGAGAGTTATGGGATCGGATGGTTAGGTTCACTGTTTGGTTGACACATGTCATCGAATCCCAATTATGTTGATTGATGCTCATGATGTTGATCACTGGATTGTCTGGTCCAGACTCTCCATAATGAATTCTATACCTGTCATTTGTCATGGATGTGTCAGGTGTCGTTTTGAAGGTCATTTGCTCTTGAAGTTTCATTCAGTTCCCATTGAGAATAATGTATTGGCAGTTTGATATGGAGACTTTTTATTTTTAATACCTCAGAGTTTGTAACAAGTAATGTTCTGGCATGTATCTGGTTGAAGGTGAGGATATCGATAACTGTAGCGTTAATGCTGTTTCAGATTCTTGCCAAGGGAGAAATGCAGGTGACAGAGAAAGAGAGACAGGCACAACTAGAATCAATGTTTCGTGACATTGCTACGATCGTGTCTGACAAGTGTGTAAATCCAGAGACTAAACGCCCTTACACTGTGACAATGATTGAGAAAGGCATGAGGGACTTGCATGTGTCTGTGAAACCTTCTAAAGGAACAAAACAACAGGCAAGTGCTCTGTCAGAGTGATAAAGTGTTGCTCATTATCATTACTTGGTGAAAGCTATGCTTTGCGGAGTTGCTTCCCTTAGTTGTTCAAGGATCCAGTGATTGTGGGTTTAAGTGCCTGGTTCACCCTGAATAGGATCCGAATTCCGCACCATACCTGATCATGTGGGTTTTACAAAAGTATTAAGACCTGCATCCCTTTGGGTTTTCCTCTTACATCAGACATGCTTTGACATGACTGAAATACTGTTCAAAGTGGCATTAAGCCATCACTTCCAAACTCCCCCTAAAACAATGTTCATTCCAGGATTTTGTTGGGAAAGTATCATACTTTAATGTTGGGAGAACCCGTGAAAGTCTGGGTTAGAATTGATCTTCAGTAACCCATGCTTGTCGCAAGAAGCGACTAACAGGATTGGGTGGTCAGGCTCGCTGGCTTGGTTGACATGTCATCGGTTCCACATTTCGCAGATCGATGCTCATGCTGTTGTTCACTGGATTGTCTGGTCCAGACACGATTATTTACAGCTGGATTATTGCTGAGTGCTTCGTAATACTAAACTCACTCACTCACTAAAAACAGTGAAAAAACAAATATGAGCCTTTCAGTATGCTGAACAGCGAACGCCTTAACCACTAGGCTACCCCACCGCCCCCTTTACAGTCTGAAGTGCGGAAACAACACATGCATATCCTTTGACTAAACTGTTTTGGAATGCTTTATTATATTTTTACGATAAATATATTTTCTACCAAGAAGAGCCAAAAAGGAATCACAACCACATAATTTTTAGGTGGAGGAATTTGTTGTTGATCTGCGTCACTCTGGTGGTAAGCTTTAAGCATCTCTGTGGCAAGCCCTGTTCGATGAGGTGAGGTGAGGTGAGGTGAGGTGAGGTGAGGTGAAATTGGGTTTAATGTCGTACTTGAGAATATTTCGCTCATATTACGACGTGCATGCATGTGTATGTGTGTGCGGCTGCTTGTACTAGCCCAGACTGGAGATGGTTTTATAGTACTAGCCCACTGAGATACCATGCTGCAGTGAAGCATGAATATCCCACTCCGACACATGATACTGACTCCGAGCCGACCAGTCCGTGTTGTACCTATTAATGCCGAGCGCCAGGCAGGGACAAACAAGTACCATATTTTAACGCCTTTTGGTATGACGTGGTCGGGGATCGAACCCGCGACCTTCCGCTCTCGGGCAGGTGCTCTAACCACTACACCACAGAGGCGGTCAGTTCGATGAAGTAGTCTTAGGACAAAATTGTTCGTAACTTCCATACTTAAACTTGGATTTACAATAGTTAGGTTGCTTTGACTACTTTCTGACACAGGGCTCAGCAGTGTATTATTGTGCTTTGTTCTCTGTTTTGCCAAAAAAAACATCATGTTGCTCACTATGTAAACATATTTTACTCAGATTGAACTAAATAACTCTCATCATGCTAATATATCTTTGTAAATTTTCAGGCTTTGGAAGTGATAAAACAACTGACTGAGTCTGACACGATGAAGATCCAGCGAGCATTCATGCGTATTCGGCTGACAATACCTGGTAGATACTTAGGCTTGTTTCTCACTTCCCACTGGTAATAATGACCCAAACCCTTCTATTGTTTCATTTTTTAATTTATTAAACAGTTATGACCTTGACACATCATGAATTCAGATAATGTAACTATTTCAGGTGTTAAATATTTAAAATATTGGACTTACAGATAAAAATCATCAAAAATGCAAATTCAGCTTGAAAAATAACACAATGCAACCACACACAAACACACACACACACACACACACACACACACACACACACACACACACACACACACACACACACACACACACACACACACACACACACACACACACACACACACACGAAATCAGAGTTCAAACGATTCACTAAATTCACCCCAGCGCTTGGGGTGAAAAGTGGTTTCAACAGCTGGGCTGGGCTGCGCTCATACCGCATGCGCAGTGAAATAGGTTCACGCAGCTTGGAAGCGGGATGTCAGGATTTAATATAAGGTCGTGAGCAGGAGTAGTCTAATCAAAACAAATAGTAAATAATCTACTCATTACATAAAAGAACCTTGTTAGGATCTAGATCTACTCAGCTATGTGTCAACAAGTGAGGCGTTCGTCATTTCAAGACGGAAAACCTTCGCTGGCGGTGAATACTCGGTGAAGGCTTTGATGTGAGCTTTTTCTAATGTTTTGTTGATATTTCACAGGCGCGAGCTTTTCATATGTTATGACAGTAGATTACAGATTTAACTGTTTATATAATTTCATTTGTCTATTACACCACACGTTCTTCTTACCGAGTCACTTTCTCAGTTCGATACTTAAAAGCAATGTCATTATTTAGAGTTGACAGAATTTCTAACTGTGATATAGATAATTTTTAAACTTATCCTATCTCACGACTTGCACCTCTCTCTCTTGCTTCGACTTTTAGTGGAACGACTGTAAATTTTTTCCCATAGGCCTCCTTGTCCATTTGCCCGTGCACTCCATGCTGCTCTCCTTACTTAGCTTCCTAGTTCCTAATAAAGCTTGCAGCATGCTCCACTAATTGCCCACGTGACTACCTTGAATGATCATTCTCTTTCTTCGTGCTGTATATTAGGGACATTATTTCACCCTAACATCATGGGGAAAACTGATAATCAGTCAAGGAAAAGGAAAGTTTGTGCTCAATGCAATACGAATTATTCGTCCCTCGACCCTCACTCATCTTGCAGTGACTGTATTGGACAATGTAACTGGAACAAACGATGTGGCAAGTGTAATTCACTAAAAGATGAGGATTTTAAGGCCTACCTTCGTGTTTGCTCCTGGAGAATCGCCGATAGGGACAGGAAGTCAACAGAATCTGATCCCACTCCCGCCAAGCGTATCAAGTTACAGCGACAGAAAATCGTACCTTCACGCAAGAGAGCAATGTCTGTGGTTCAAGAGGATTTTATGGACGCTTCATCAGATTCTTACTTATCTGAGGACGTTCGGCACCTATTACGTATGCATCAATCACCTCCTTCCATAGCGTCAGATCACACGCGGGTGGTTGTGATCGGTAATTCTTCATTGCCTGTCCCATCTACACTACCAGGGGACCTTAGATCGACACTATCATCATCCAGATCATCGGTACATATCCCCTCGACTGTCTCAGTTTGTTTGGAGCCTGGCCAACCGCTGTTCAACCAGCCAACTGTCTCCCCACAGTTCATTGAACCGGACGGAGCTGGCTATAACAGCGTCGCCGGGGGACGTTCATCATGAATCAACACTTCACGTTTCGTCACCTAATCGCCGATCCGGGTCGCCACATCATTCTAGATCACCACAACGATCTAGATCACCTTCACAATCCAGATCACCATCAGAAGCCCGATCAAGATCACTGGATCGATCCAGATCACAGTCACGATCCAGAGCACAACTACGATCCACATCACCTGATCAATCCAGATCACCTTACCGATCTAGATCACCAAACGGGTCCAGATCACAACTTCGAATAAGATCACCGGACAGATCCAGATCACCTAGCCAGTCCAGATCACCGAACCATCCCAGATCACAACATCGAAGTAGATCATCGGACCGATCCAGATCACAGAATGGATCCAGATCACAACTTCGAATCAGATCACCGGACCGATCCAGATCACTGAATGGATCCAGATCACAACCTCGAATCTGATCACCGGACGGATCTAGGTCACCTAGCCGATCCAGATCACAACATCGAAGTAGATCTCCAGACCGATCCAAATCACCAAATCAAGCCAGATCACAACTGCAATCAAGATCACCTTATAGATCCAGATCACGATCACAGTTTCCAGTTAGTGCATCGAATCGATCCAGAATACTTTACAAATCCAGATCATCTTACCAACCCAGGTCACCTATACGATCTAGATCACCTTACAGAGCCAATTAACAATCGGGATCACAGTACAGATCCACATCTCATGGCCGATCCTATTCAGATGGTCGAACCAGAGCTCCAATCAGAACCAGATCACCAGCTAGAACTACAGCAACCCGGACTAGTTCTTCATATCATACCGGATCACCTAGCCATACTAGGAAATCCAGATCACCGGCTTACCAACCTACTTCGGTACTTACCACGTCGAGATCTCGATACAGTTCCTCTGACCGACGTTCGGGTGATCATTGCTCTGATACCACTAATAGGCCTTCAGTCTCTTATGAATCCTTTGACTCACTCTAGGATCATCGCTGAGTCATTGGAACCTGATAACAATCCCACTCCTACAGTGACTCTGGATCTAAATATGATGATCAGGGCCATAACCTCAGCCTGGAACCAAATACAGCCTTCTACTCCAGCCCATCCGGCTTCGGTAGCTCCTGGCTCTACATCTGATCCACCTCCTGAGATTGATCCAGTCCAAATAGCCATGCCTGCATCTTCTGCTCACTCTGAGTTATCTACCCCTGGAGGTAGCTTTGCAGCAGTTGAGACACCTCAGGTACTCCTTTGTATTGTTGAGAAGCTCCAACTTCCCTTGAGTACTTCAGCAGATGACCTGGATCACTCTTATACACTTAGGAACCGGGATTGGTCTACCATTACCCTACCACCTCGACCTTGTATTCTGAAATTATCCAGGACACTAAATGATGGTTTCAAGAGCCTGAAACGAATTAGGACGGATTCTCTGCTCCCAGATATAATCCTTCTACCTCTCATGTCCACGGCCTAACAAAAATCTCTATGGCTCCAACAGTTGATGAGGATATTGGAACCCTGTGTGGCAAACGAGCTGCTTCGCCCTATTCAGCCGTGAGAAAGACATTGCCATCTATTAGTTGCGTGATTGCAGCAGTCGACGCTGTTAACACTGCTCTGGAGCATACTTACTCTGATCAAGACGCTTACATCCGAGGATGCATGACTTTAGCTCTGGACCAGTTCTAAATTATCCTGGTTCAGTTGTCTCATTTTTTGGGCTACACTCTTGCTGTTCGCCGACGTGGACCCCTTAACATCTCTTCATGGGAGGAGCGATTTAAAACAGAACTGTTTCGCCAGCCTTGGTTTACTGACGCCCTCTTCAATGGTAGCATCCAAGAAGTATCTAATAAAGTTGATAAAGAAACCCACTTTCAAGTCTCGATTGAACTGTTAAAGATACAGAAGTCACAGCTCCAGGACTCATTAAAACAGCGTCGAACTGCACAGTTCACCCCTACCAATCCAGATTTATGCAATCTTTTTCGTGGCGCATCCACTCAAGGTCGTGGCAGAGGAAACAGATCTGGCCGTGGTGGTTCCTCCCGGCTCGGGCTCATTGCTCATATCCTGTGGACCAGCTTCAGACTCTGCAATCCACAATAGGGACGCTATTAGACAAACTCGCAATAGAGCTCCTAAGTCCATTGCCCGTCACTCCAGGATTCTACTCCCCAATCTTCTTTGTTCCAAAGAAAAATTCCAACAAACTCCGGCTCATCTTCAATATGAAGTTGTTCAATGCCCGATTCCTGCTTCCACCGCCTCACTTCAGGATGGTGTCGATCAACCTTTTACGCACCATCCTGAAGAAGGGAGACTTCCTCATCAGCCTAGTTCTTCAGGATGCTTATCTTCACGATCCGATACATCCAGAACATCGGAAGTACCTCGCTTCGTGTTCAACGGGAATCGCTACCAATGGAAAGTCCTACCATTTGGAATTTCCACAGCCCTGTGGCTTTTTACCCGAATTACCAAGCCCATAACGAGCTTCCTCCAGTTTCAAGGGATCACCTTCGAAAGCTACATAGACGATTGCATCCAGGCTCAACAGGATCCGATCGTATTGCTTCGCCAGCTACAGTTCACCACCACGCTGCTCAGACGGTTAGGGGGCTGTTGAACATCGCGAAATCAGAACTAATACCGACTCAGACACTCGTCAGGGGATGATGTTTGTACCCCACGACAGGTGGATAAAGATTCAGCAATGCATTCCTCCAGCACTGTCTCAGGCGAGAACCTTACGACAGTGGCAGGAACCACTGGGCCTTCTGACGTCAGCTCAAGCCTTAACGTACAGAGGCTGATACAGCGATTTCTACGCCTGTACCTTCAGGCCGACAATCCCCAGGAAACTAATTTGCCTTCCAGAACCACTTTATCCAGTCCTTCAATGGTGGCTCGACGAATGGAATGTTTGCGCCGGAGTCTCCATGATGCCCTTTGCACCGACTCATCACCTATTCGTTGATTCATCACCTCATGGGTTGGGGAGCTCACTTCCTCGACCACCAGCAACATACTACTGCTTTTGGTCGCATCCTTCTGGCCAGCGCGAAGTTGGTTCGTCAACCTAAGAAGCCTGGCAGAGCCAAACCCAGTACCGCTTCCCAACCGGGACGACCTACTTCTTCACCCTCACTCGGAACTGCTCAACGGGTCACCTCAGACCCTCAATCTTCACGTCTGGCGCATCTTCAGAGGTCTCTCATAGCTAAGGGCTACTCTCTCCGAGTAGCCACAGCTATCACTTCAGCGCATTGTACTTCGACCCATTCCTTGTACGACAACAAGTGGAAGAAGTTTGAAGACTATTGCAAGCTTAGGGGAATTGCATCTCCCACTTCCACCTCGGCTCAGGTCGTTGCTGAGTTTCTCCAGCATCTCCGCACTACTAAGAAACTCAAGGGTACTACCTTAGCTACCTACTTAGCCGCCATTAACTCGGTTTTGGCTACCACCACGCTCACTAAGATTTCCTCTGTTTCCGAGTTGCAGAGTCTACTACGCTCCTATAGACTCTCTGACCAGTCCAGGAAGTTCAGACCTCTGGCCTGGGATCTGTCCGTCGTCCTTCGTCATATGATTTCTACAGATTATGAACCTTTAGAAGACAAGGACTTCGAACAAGTGACATTCAAGACATTCTTCTTGGTAGCTTTGGCTTCCGCTGCTCGTATATCTCAACTGCATGCACTTGATGTCAATCGGATGCAGTTCGAGCGGAAGAAGCATGGCAAGGCTTTCCTTGGTCTCCGCTGGGACTTCATTGCGAAAAACCAACTGCCAGGCAACCGGACCGGATGTTTACCATTGCCCCATTGTCCACCATTCTTGGGCCTGATGATAATTTACCTTGCTGCCTCCAAGGATCGTCGACGGCTACGGAAGCGCCTCTTCATACCCTTGTCGAAAACTTCAAGAACTGAGGTTTCCCGGACCACATTGGCCTTCTGGATGCGTGCCACGATCCTGCAAGCCTACAGCTTTGCAGGGTTGCCTCCTCCAGCCACTTCCAATCCTCATGAGACTCGTGTACTAGCCTTGACGATGGCCCTCCATAGCAACTGCTCCTTGACCGGTTGCTTCTGGCGTTCTGATACAGTCTTCTCTTCACATTACCTGCCTAACCTGTCTGTCACGGATGTCCAAGGACTACACCAGTTTGGACCCTCTTGCACTGGCTCAGCAGCTTACATCGGCCCAACAACGCAGATGAGATACGGTTCCGCATTCGAGTTACTGTTGAACTGGATCTCAACCTTTTGTTCTCATTATATGAGTGTAAGAACTACTTCACTTGGCCTCCATACCAAGGCATCGGAATACGGCCACCTAGCGTGGCCCTACGGGCCTGAGGCACAATCAGTATGACGATGCAGAGGTGTTCGACATTCACGCTTACTGACCTCTACTCCATGGAGCAATTACGTCAGTGAAGTGTGACACTCCCGAATTCCAGTGGATTTCGTTGCGTTCTGCCTCCAAAGTTGCCGGGCACATCCTTTGACTAAGCTTCCCGGAACTGAACGTTAAACCTTGGAGATGCCGAGTTGTGTTTGTCTTTCACCCGCCTCGGTTGGTGTCTGGGGGGGCCTTATTGAAGCAGGGGCTGGCCCGATTCTAGTCGCAAGACTTTAATTATGGGGGTACCTTGTAAATCGTGGCGAGGCGAGGCTTACATGCCGAGTTGCTTCCCTTGTCTTGTACAAGGTTGCGGCCGAACACAACATCGCTCGGGAGCACCCATCTCCCTGGGAGTCATTGTGCTTAGTAAGCCAAGGCGTTCCGGAGAACCTACTACAAGCATAGGAGTTGCGTTCATGCGTAACAGGCCTCCCTTGTACATCGCTATCTACGGTTGTCATCAGTCCACACAGCTCCAAGACCAGCTGTTCGCACTGTCCAGACAGAAGGGTAATCTGCAGCCCGCCGTCCAACCGTGGGATAAGTGCAAGTCGTGAGATAGGATAAGTTTAAAAATTTGGAAATTATAATATAAATTGTATATTTATATACTTATCCTATCTCACGTGATGGATGCCCACCCGGCCTCCCCACTACTCAGATTACAACGTTGGCTCCAAGATGAGAATGATCATTCAAGGTAGTCACGTGGGCAATTAGTGGAGCATGCTGTAAGCTTTATTAGGAACTAGGAAGCTAATTAAGGAGAGCAGCATGGAGTGCACGGGTGAATGGACAAGGAGGCCTATGGAAAAAAGTTTACAGTCGTTCCACTAAAAGTCGAAGCAAGAGAGAGAGGTGCAAGTCATGAGATAGGATAAGTATATAAATATACAATTTATATTAAAATTTCCAATATCGTTGTCAGAGACAACACTCAATGTCTGTTTTATTGACACCTAAGTGTCTGCCTGCCTGTCTGTCTGCTAATGACAATATTCAATGCACAACTTCGATCACTGACCACATGCAATTTGAACTTAACACCTATCAGGCTATACACCATAAACAAAACGCATTGATTTATGGCCCGAGTTCGGTCTCTGTCACATTATGTAATTACACAGACAGGCAGGTGTGATACTTGTACACATGACATGCTATGATGTCAGTTGATTGCTAAATGTTATACACAAAAAATGAGCATGTACTTACAAAACCCAACATCTCTATATGTACACACACACAATGAGCTGCGAGGGCATCGGCAAAATGAACCAGCCAATGAGAGACCTCGTTACACTTGAGCGCACACCCACCTGCTCTGACTGGGTTTGGTATCCCGGGTGCTTCGTTTCGAGGGAAGTAAACACAAGTACAAAATATTGCACTTTTGATTTACGATTGTATGCTTATAATTTTGTTTAAATGTTTTTTTAATAATCAGCAATGTATATTATATGTCATGAATAAGTGATAATTGTGTTTTACAGTACAACCAGAAATTATTGAAAATTTAAAGATTGTAAATTTTTATATTTTTTCACTCATTACTCACGTATTAAATGTGAATATTAGCAGAACATAACTCCAGATTCAAAGACAGGTGAACAGTTAGTATTTTGTCAAGTCACCATGGGCAGCAATGCAGGCTTCAATGCGTCGGGGCATACTACTGATCAAAGAAGTTAGAAAGTCGTGGTCCTTGCTGTCCCACTATCGGACCACCTCTTCTTTCATTTCAGCAATATTTGTCAGATTTTTCTTATTGACACTTTCCTTCATAAGCCCCCAAACATTTTCTATTGGACTTAGGTCAGGTCCTAGCTTGGCCAATCTAATAATGTGATATTTTGGGTCTGAAACCAGGCCTGTGAATGCTCTGAACGATGTTTTGGGTCGTTGTCCTGCTGGACAATCCAAACATTTCCATAGCACATGTGAGCAGATGGAAGTAAATGTCCCTCAAGAATATCTGTGTACCGCTCACTGTTCATATTCCCTTCAAATACACAGATGGGCGTTGCCCCTAACACAGATATGCCACCCCACACGTTAAATTTCGGACTGTACTTTGAGCTGATACAAAGGAATTTCAGTTTGTTTGGTCCAGAATTTCAGTGTATTAGGAAACAGCCACACAGAACTTTCATCTGAGAAAATCACATTGTCCCAGTTAAAATTTCTTTGCTGTAAGCACCAGTTCAACCTTCGCTCCTTTTGTTCAGGTTTCATGATCGGTGATGGAATTCCCTCGACTTTTCAGCCAACCCATTGCATGCAGCTCAGTTCTAATTGTCTCCTTACAGACAGCCACAGTTCCTCTATCAATCATATCCAGCCTTAAGTTTTCTAAACTCCTTTGTTTGTTTTTAGAAACAAGAATATCAAGCTGCCTCCTGTCACCGACAGTCAATTTTCTGGGCCTACCTGTGCCTCCCTGGTGCTCAATGCCATATCCATTTGCAATATTTTTCAAAACACGATAAACAGTGGACAAAGGGATGCCTGTTCTACTTGAAATCACTTTAGCTGATCTGATGTCCTTGTTATAATACTCTAAAATCAACTTCCTCTTCTCTAAATCATCCATACTGAGGATCACTGAAAATGTCGTCTGCTAGCAAGTAAACAAAGGGGGATAACTCTTCACAAACTAATGAAAAAGGATTAACGGAGTTGTCTCTCTTGAATGAAACCAAGCACTTGATAGCTGGTCAAGGTTGTTTATACTAGAAATCCAATTAAACATATTCCTAAAATTTTCAATAATTTCTGGTCATGCTATAATTATGTTTGATTTTTTGGTTGCATGTGACCTTTAAACTATTTGAGCAGTATATCAATTGTATCCCTCTGTATTAGGGCTGTATATTGGTAAATCTATTGTTTTGCAATATATTGTGATTCAGGTACCCGCATTGCGATACGTATTGCAATATATTGGGAGCTTAAGTGTTTGACAGTGAGTGACACTAATTGTGCATGTCAATCCTATTTTCTACATTATAAGTCCCTAACATATGCCGTTTTGTCATTACATAATGAAGGAAAACATTGTTGTGAATGAAAGTCTGTGTAGATTTAATTTAAACCATAAAGATAATCACAAAAACTTCATATATGTTTTTTTCCCAATACCGGTTCTCAGAAAAAATATTGCAATACGTATCGTTTGTAAAACATATTGAGATATACCGGTATATTGGTATTACCGTGCAGCCCTACTCTGTATCAATTTGTGAGAAAACCTGTGTGACATTCTCCAATCTGGCAGTCTTTGTCTAAAACCACTGAGACTGCTAGCTTGAAAATGGCTTTCACTTTTTTATATCCTGGCATGCCCAATTAATGTAACTCTGAGCTATAAGTTACACTGCCATTGGCCTCTGTCCTTCTCATATCTCTCTCCATTTCTGGTATCCCCTTGGTGATATTGCTGGAATATTTCTAAAAGCGGCATAGAACTATAACCACTCACTCACACATGTCTTTTGAAAACCTTGATTCTGATTAGGTTGGTTGGTTGTTAAACACAGCTCTCATAGATTTTCCAGTTTTGGGCAGCAGTCTGTAAATAATTGTATTAGCTTGTGCCAGGATATTACTTGTTTTGTTCTTATATTTGTTATCCAGCACGAGAGGGAAAGAAGCTGAGAACCAAAATACTAAAGCTTGCTGTTAAAGTGGAAGAAGATGAGTTCGGGGAGGAGCTGGAAATGGTAGGTAGTAGAAGGGAACCAGTATTACAGGGCCAGGCTCCTGGCAGGGTCATATTGCCTGGAGGAGTGTGAAGGGATTACGGAGATACATGAAGGACTGGCGGGTATGAGTCAGTACAATGTATCTGAGTGGGGTATCTCGGCTCTACTGCAGTGTGGTATCTCAGTCGGGTAGCAGTATAAAACCACATTAGTCTGGATGAGACAAGCAGACTTGCCCACACCTACAGTGCAATAATTTTCACCTCAGCACACCATATTTTGCAGCTTCTCAAGACTCGGTCACCTTGGGTTATTACACATGGTATCAGCACAGGATATAAAGGGCAAAGTATCTTCTTTCAAAACCTGATGATACATAGTAATAATGATTGATCACTTTGAAGATTTTCATCATTTAGTGGGGAGGTGGGGTAGCCTAGTGGTTAAAGTGTTTGATCATCACACCAAAGAAGCGGGTTCGATTCCTCACATGGGTACAATGTGTGAAGCCCATTTTGGTGTCCCCACCCGTGATATTGCTGGAATACTGCTAAAAGTGGCGTAAAACTAAAGTCAATCATCAATCATTTTCAGGTCATTCAGATTGACCCTGGATGTTATCGTGAGATCGATGAGCTGATCCGCACAGAGACGAAAGGTCGAGGTCAGCTGGAGGTCATCAACTTGAAGGAGGTTGAGGAGGGTGATGAAAAGCTGGAGTAGCTACAAAATTGTTCTGTTCTCCATGTTCCCGACCCACTGCCTTACTTCATGATATGGCGGATCTTCATCCAGAGGCAAAACGTCTTTTAATCAAAGTTATAGTTTTGAGTGAAGGATTCACTTACCATGAAGTGCTATTGAATGATCATGTGTAAAAGTGTTGCAGTCTAGATCTTGTTTTCATGCCGAGGAAATTGACTTATTGGATTCTTTCTGTAAGACTAACAGAGATCAGCTTTCATTGTCCAGTCTTCAGATTAGGAAACACAATAATATATTCTAGCAATCTACAGATGAGTAAATTGTAGTTTGCTTACTCATATAGAAGTGGAAATCATTTCTCAAGTCTGCCATGCACAAGATCATGATCAAGTCTGCCATGCACAAAATCATGATAAAGATGAAAGTTTCAAAGTACAGAAACATAGGATTTCTGAGGTCAAATCCAGAATTCAGATTATTACAGCATGTTGTTACAGAGTGGTGTAGCTTAATCCTAAAAGGGTCACTATCACACTGAAGGTACAATATTTAAAGCCCATTTTTGGTGTTCCCTGCTGTGGAACAATTCCCCACATGGGTACAATGTGTGAGACCCATTTCTGGTGTGACATTGCTGAAATGTTGCCAAAAGGGTGTAAAACCCAACTCACTCTTTGTATCTAGTAAGTGATGAAAACTGCCCTCTACACCATACACACGTTTCAATCTCTGAATATATATGGAGCATATTAAGCTGATTTTAGAAATAAGGATGAAATTGTACTCCAGGGGCCTGTTTCACGAAGCTCTCGTAGGCCTAAGATCTCGTAACTTTTCTCGTAGCATTCGTACCTCCTATACTATAACATAGGAGGTACGACGCTACGAGAAAAGTTACGAGAACTTAGGCTTACGATCGTTTCGTGAAATGAGGCCCAGGGCCCTATTTCACAAAGCTCTCGTAGCGCTACGACTATCGTAAGTCAACAGTTACAGTATAGGACGTACGAATGATACGAGAGAAAAGTTACAAGATCTTAGGCTTACGAGAGCTTTGTGAAACGGGGCCCTGCAATGTTGAATGTGTTTTGTTAAAGTTCTAGTTTCCTGCAATGAAATCAAATGGTTGTTGATGATTAGTTGTATTTTGACTGTATGTGATGCTGCCATTGTTGCACAAGGTGTTTAACAACCTTACGTAAATAACCTGAAACATGCTGCGTGTTGTTGACATCAGTTGTTGTTCCGAGCCTGTCCTTATCGTTGTGATAATGGAGAACCATTTGTTGGAACGGACGGATGCTGTTACGTTTACATTTCAAAAATGATACTGAAATGCAAGTTCCGTTTCATATTTAATGGATTTTTTTATTTGTTAAAATCTGAAACTTCAGCATCTGTTGAAAATTTTATTGGGCATTGGGGTAGGTACATGGGTAAATGTATGCTTGTAACCACTAAGGTGTGGGTTCGAGTCCTGACATGGGTACATTGTGCGAAACCAATATCCATCGACATGACATACCTGAAATATGTCTTGATGTGGCTTCAGATCCACCTCACTCTCTCCAGGGGTTGTACTCAGGATTTCAAACATCACAAGGTGAAGGTCAGCTTAAGCTTCAGCTTCACTATTCTGTAGTTACAGGACTTTCATCACAAATACCAATACATAGAGGCCTTCTGCCAGCAAGATGTGTTCTCGTTGTTTTAATACCAGTTGAAGGCTGACTCAGAGATTACAGGCAATATGCCTGAACTTACAGTCAAATCCCGATGATTCGAATGCCGGTGTCTCGAATATTATGCTATATATATAACTCGAAGTACCTGTCGGTCCCTACCATTCCCTGTTATAGTTGTTATCATTTGATTTCCGGTTACACGAATTCGTCTCATGAATACACACGATGACTCGAGAAGGAAATTTGGTCCCAGGAGATTCAAACAACAGCAATCTTGTATACATAAGCCGAAGTCAGTCAATGAGAAGTTGATTGGTGTAGCAAACCGATCCAATTAACAAACCAGCGCGGCTCACACCTTTCCGCCATTGACGGGTGAGTTCAAAAGGCAGATTAGTGATTTTACGGAAATCCCTGTCTGTGCTAATCAGACTGGAACTGATAAGGTGCCCCTATTAGTGATAGGGAAATCATTAGGTAAACAAATGCTTAGGTGGAGGAATTAGGACTGGATCATCTTTTTGTCTACTCTCATAGACATACCAATGTCTCGAATACCCCCGGTACATCGATAAGTCGAATTTATTACTTGGTCCCCAGCGATTCGACTCATTGGAATTTGACTGTACATAGAAAATACCTAATAATGTCTAAAATGAAGACATCCTTTTGATTCTGGGTTAAAGTTGGTCTGCACCGACATGTGACTACATGGATTGGATGATCAGGCTTGGTGCCATCTTATCCAGAAGGCATGGCAGCTCAGAATGTCAATCACTGGATTGTCTGGTCCAGAATCAATTACTGAGAGGCCACCATCATACAGTGGGAATATTTCAGATTAACATCAAGCAGAAAGCATGGGAATCAAAATTTGATTGCAAACTTTTAAATGATGCGTCTTGCTTCTGATAAAATTTTGCAGAGTTTGAAATTCAGGTGCCCTTTTCGTCCCTGTGGTGACACATACTGGTCCTAATGTTCCAATAATGCTGCAACAATTCTCAAAAACCCAGGGAACATTCAAACATTGATTCTGACTTGCAAAGCCTTCGAGCCCCTGTTTGTATGCTGAAGAATGTGCTACTTTTATATGACTGTACATTTGTGTAATATATATTCTAACTGTACGTTATATTTTGCAATCATTTGATTAAAACATTGAAACAGTCATTAGATGTTTGTTTCATGAGATAGTTAAGATTCTAGTCCCTCAGGGGTGGAAATAACTATAAAATTGCTAGTGTACTCCGGTACAGTGGCACATGTAAAATCACTTGCCCTGATAATTTTTCCACTATACCGGCCATTTTCTTGTTGATTTTTTAAATAAACAACATAATTAACATTGGAATATCAACTGGACACCGGTACAGTGTGATATACAAATTTGCTTGCCCGACAGAAAAAAACACTGGACTCGGGCGTCGGGCAATGGGTTATTTCCACCCCTGGTCCCTTATGGACAGCTTGGGATCCATGGAGATCTGGGTTAGAATTGGTCTTCAGCAACCCATGCCTGTAGTAAGAGGCGAGTAACGGGATTGGGTGGTCGTCTCGCTGACTTGTGTTACACGTCATCGTATCCCAGTTGTCTTGATCGATGCTCATGCTGTCTGTTCAGACCCGATTAACTACAGACCGCCACCATATAGTTGGAATATTGCTGAGTGCAGTGTTTAACAAACCAACTACAGACAGCTTGGGTTGTATACACCAAGGTGAGGTGAGGTGAAATGGGGTTTAACGTAGGGGACTGGCAGTGTATATCAGACAGTCCATCGCTACACGCTTCTCACGTATACACCAGGACTGGACGGGCTGCATCTTCTTCACAAGTGACATCATGTACTCACAAACCGATTATATTTGGATTTATGTATGTGGTGGTGGTGGAATTGGGTTTAACGTCGTGCTTGAGAATATTTTGCTCATATGACAGCGTGCATGCGTGTGTATGTGTGGCTCCTTGTACTAGCCCAGACATAAGCTGGTTTGATAGTGCTAGCTCACTAGTTTTATAGTGCCAGCTCACTGAGATACCATGCCGCAGTTAACATACATACATACAAATACTTGTATAGCGCCAATATCCGTAAACCGCTCAAAGGTGCTTTGGCTCTAAGATCGTATTGATATCACATAGAGTTCAAGTGCTTCAGCAAAGCGACATGTCTTTAGATTTGATTTAAAAACAGCTAAATCTGGTTGTGTTCTGAGGTGAGATGGAAGATTGTTCCAGAGATGAGGGCCAGTCGTCTCAAGTGACCTGTCACCATATGTTTTTGTCCTAGTCACAGGAATTGTCAAAAGACACTGGTCATTTGATCGGAGGGAACGTACAGGAGTATAACGATGGAACAGATCACAGAGGTACTGAGGAGCTAGACCATGTATACTTTTGAAAACAAGGAGTAGAGTTTTATATTTTATGCGGTAGTGGACGGGAAGCCAATGAAGTGAGTGAAGAACGGGAGTAATGTGGTCTGATTTCTTTGACTGAGAGACCACTCTGGCTGCAGTATTCTGCACCTTCTGAAGCTTGTGTATAAGATAGTTTGGGAGACCCACAAGAAGCGCATTACAGTAGTCAAGACGAGATGTTACATATGCCTGAATAAGAGATGCTGTAGTCCAGGTATCGTCGAATCATGCCGATGTTGCGAATGTGGTAGTACGCCCTTCTACAGATGTTATTAATGTGTGGCTCCATGGACAGTGAGGAATCAAAAATAACTCCCAAGTTTCGCACCTCGTGGTTTGGCTGAATCTCACACTGACCGATGCTGAATTTAGGAAGAGAGATACTGGGTTGGAGACGCTTAGGGTGGAAAACTATGAGTTCAGTTTTATCATCATTCAGTTTGAGGTAGTGTGACGACATCCAGATTTTGATGCAGCTGACACACTCTTCAATGGTGAGAAATGAAGACACAGCTGATGAGGAAAGTAAGTTAAGCATGAATACCCCACTCAGACACATTATACTGACTCCGAGCCGACCCATTAATGCTGAATGCCAGGCAGGGAACAACAAGATACTCCCCAAAGAGCCGAGCCATAGAAATGGAGCTCACACTGACAGTCACTAAAGATGGTGTTAGTGCCTTGATCATGCTTTAACGGATGGATTTTCGAGCAGTACAAGTATACAATGTTTTTCATCGTAATTTTATTCATTTTTCACACCATTTCCCATATTTACACAAAGGTACTGTACAATTGAATGGAACTAAAAACAATATGAAATTATGTGAACACAAACTCCAGGGACATTTGGTCCCAAAATGTGATTTGGCCATGATTTAGTCATCAGCAACTACAGCTTGTTCAGCTTGACCTGAGCTACTATACATATGCATGACCCGGGAGGTCAAATGGCACAAACGGTAAGCCGAGTTACCTTCATTAAATAGGGGAGCAGAGAATGTTATGAATGCTGCGTTCGTGCGAAGCATGCATACATGGATTCATTACAGAACTTGTCCTGGAAAACAACACTTCTGAAAAAGCAATTATTTCATGTGTTAACTGAATTGTTAATACAGTCATATTTTGGTTTACTAACTTTACAAAGTACAGACGTCAGTTACTTTCACAATCCAATTCACTCTCGCTGTCACTCTCTACATCCAGTTCAATTATCACTTTTTCTATTTCATGTTCAACAGCAATATTTCTGTCCCAGTAGTTAGGACATTGCTGACGATTTCTCAACACTGAGATGTCAAACGGTGACAAAGGTACACCCCTTCACAATAATAGACCCAACCAGTTGTGACACGTCACACAATACATTAGTATTCACTTGATCAGGTCAAGCTGAACAAGCTGTAAGTGCCTTCTAACTGGGTCTCACCACATCAGAATCCATCAAACCATAGCCTACAATGGGCATGTATATGAAACTACTACACCAAAGATCATAATCTGGTCAAAGTTGGATGTGAACGCAAGACCAGCGGATCCTGCAAGGCCAAGGGACACAATTCTGCACTACTACTCTCCATAACTTTCAAACATAACTACTTTCCATTTTCACATCTGACAAGAGCTACTGGCAAACAAGGATAAGTTGAGCACCGACCTGACAATTGACCCATATTAGCATGTATGAGTGCCGCCCACTGGTGCTTGCCATTGTTAGCGAAGGGGACCCAGGTTGTCCGCGATCAAGTGTAGTGTGATGGGTGGCTCAAGGCGTGTGCCGCTACGCGCGGAATCAATTTCATCGTCATGCAATGCACGTGCACTAGCCTACATCTGCTCTACCTTTCACAAACCAAATGGGTTTGCCATGCACCGCCTACTTCTCGTAAACGTGTTCTCTGCGCTGGTCCAACTTATCCTTGTTTGCCAGTAGGAGTGAGCGAGTTGAATTTTACGCAGCTTTCAGCAATATTCCAGCAATATTATGGTGGGGAACACCAGAAATGGGGTTCACACATAGTACCCATGTGGACAAGAGTTAGGTGGATTAAATGGGTGAAATAATAACCGCCAAGCGAGTGGTTTGTTGTGATAACCACCTCGAGGGAACCGAGAGGAAGTTATCGAAGCGAATCACGAGCTTAAGGTGGTTATTTCGCATATACCACAAGGTCAAAAACATTCTTATTCCAGTTGAAATATTATTAACTGCAATGTGCATATATTATAATAAAATAAAAAAATGAATGGTTTTGCATTTATTTATTGAAGATGTTTCCAATAAAAGCATTGAGGTAGAGGCATCGGGTTGTCAACCCCGATCTGCCAAGGGAAAAGTTCTTCTCGAGGTGCGATACCGGGAATAAGGTGAGGCGAAAATCAAATACTTTTCATACAATTATTTAATAAAAAATAAATAGTTGGGAATTTGTCAGTTTTGTGATGCAGGCCCACTTGCATCCCCGGTCATGAGAAAAGCCGATTCAGTTCATCGTCGTTCCCACAATGTGCAGTCACCCCAGGGGAACCAACGCTCGTCTCCCAACACTGAAACTTCATGGTTGCAAATTCTGATTTAATGTCTGTGACTGTTTTTAGTGGAATATCTGGAAAAAAATAACAAAAAATGCATTGATACTTTATTGGCACCTTTGCTTATCCAGCTAATTATTTTTCATTCTGGTACAATGAATACCCCATACTAAGTAGTTTTGTTGTCAAATAACCGTCAAATAAATTTATTCATGAGAATGATACATTGTGAAGTTTTGATAGTGAATGAGTCCACATCCATCCAAATTAATTAGTGTAGAGCTAAAATTATATATCCAATCAAATTACATTTATGAGTGATGGGAATTCCAAGTGAAGTTATTTGACAAACTTACTTAAAAAAGTTTGTGAAGTTGTTCTTGAATTGATAGACAGTTTGGACAAGAAAAATAAGAATCAGAATGGACTGACTGAAGCAAACATCACGTGGCTCCAGAAATGTATAACACCCTGTACAAAGACTCCCTCCCTCACGTATGACGTGTACAAACCTGGTTTGATGAGGATGAAGGCACATCCACCCCCTCCAGCGCCAGTCAACTTGGCATGAAGGTTGTACTTGGCTGCAGTCCTCACTATCTCCTCCAAGGCTGGGTGGTTTACTTGCAATGCCCCTAGGTGGCACTGGTTGATGTCAATCAAATCCTGCAGCCAATCAAAAACCAAATCATACAAAATCTGTGAATTATCTCCCTTGTTACCAGTGAGTTCAGTTGACTCCCAATATAGCTAACATGTTAACACTTTGATTGTCATAATGTGCACCTAGAATACCCTTAATACCCAGGAAGAGACAAGCATGACTTTCTGGATACCTTGTCCTCCCTGAATACCCCAGGTTGAGACAAGCATATCACAAACTATCAACCTTTTCTGCTCCCAGAATCCCAAGGGGTACACGACCCTGGCGGTGTAAAGACAGGACAATACAGTATTGTGTCTCACTATGTGACTTGCATACATTTATAACGCCTGTGTCGTATTACATATGCTACATTACATTACAAGTTACACCAGTGAAGTTCCAGGTTAGAATTGGCCTTCAGTAACCCATGCTGGTCGTAAGAGGTGAGGTGAGGTGAAATTGGGTTTAACGTCGTGCTTGAGAATATTTCACTCATATGACGACGTGCATGCTTTTGTATGTGGATGTGCGCCTGCTTGTACTAGCCCAGACTTAAGCTGGTTTTATAGTGCTAGCCCACTGAGTTACCATGCCGCAGTGAAGCATGATTACCCCACTCAGACACATTATACTGACTCCGAGCCGACCAGTCCTTGTTGTACCCATAAATGCTGAGCGCCAGGCAGGGACCAACAAGTACCACATTTTAACGTCTTTTGGTATGAAGCAGCCGGGGATCGAACCCGCGACCTTCAGCACTCGGTTGCGGACGCTCTAACCACTACACCACGAGGCGGTCTGCTGGTGCGTAAGAGGCTTCCTAACAGGATTGGGTGGTCAGGCTCGCTGGCTTGGTTGACACATGTCATCATATCCAAATCAATGCTCATGCTGTTGATCACTGGATTGTCTGGTCCAGACTTGATTATTTACAGACCGTTGCAATATAGTTGGAATATTGCTGAGTGAGGCGTTAAACAACAAACAAACAAACAAATGAAACATTACTCATATTAGTGGAAACTGTGAATAACAACACAAATTGTTCAACAGCCAGTTTATGCAGATTCTATAGAATTTCTAGTATTTCACTATGGCTCTTTAAGACTGGTTGCAGAATTGACTTACCTCCAGTATTTCATACTGATCGTTTGAGGGGGAGTCTGCCATCTTAGCCAGCACTTCCTCACATCGGTGGGATATGGCCTCTATGGAGTTCAGCACCGGCTCGATAATATCTGGGTGCTATGTCAGAAAATACCATAATTATCACACAATGAAGAGTTCAGAGATAGACTAGGCACTATTGCACTCCTCATGTAGGAAAGGAGTATCAATATCAGGTCACACTAGGAACGAATGAGAGCAAGAGCTGAGCTACTACATGGCCAGCAAACACTTGACCATTCTACTTCTGACAACTTGGTCATTTGTCTTCTCGACCTAGGAAAGTCGTAATTGAACTGTTATTTTACATGTCTGTTAATTAGAGATGAATGAGATAAATATGAAAAAAACTACAATAATCTGTGTATGGGATATGCTATACAACCAGGGGGCAAGGTGGGTATACCTTCTCGTATCTCGCCCTGCATCTGGCTACCAGGACCTTTGTGCTTCTAGGAATTCCAGTATTGACCAGCAATATGTGTAGCTTTGGGACTCTGTAAAACGCCATTGCACAAAAGAATATGAGAGAAGGAGGGGAGAGAGAGAGAGAGAGAGAGAGAGAGAGAGAGAGAGAGAGAGAGAGAGAGAGAGAGAGAGAGAGAGAGAGAGAGAGAGAGAGAGAGAGAGAGAGAGAGAGAGAGAGAGAGAGAGAGAGTTTTATGTGGCTTTTACCATTATTCCATTAATATCATGGCAGAAGACATCAGACATAGGCTTCAGGCTAATGTCAATCTAATGCAGGAGTTGGTTCCCTTATCTGTACAAGGATGTAGTGGTAGTCGGTTCAGGTCACAGGTTTGCCTTGGTCCTGATAACACCTGGTGGAGATGTTTTTGGATGCTCCTCCACCTCAATAATGACGCCGCACTCAGCTGTCCAGCGATCATAATCTGTCACTAAATGTGAGCATGTGCGGGAACCATTTTGTCAATGTTCCTCCCTGACCACCCGATCATGCTGACAAACCAAGACCTACTACTCTTCATGGGTCTCCACCTCATGCTGACAAACCAAGACACTACTGCAGTAATCAGTGTGGTGTCAAACCAAACCCACTCACAAACCTGACCAGAGCTTACAACAACAAAGACCAGACATTGTGCTTACCTTCTCAGAGGTGTAATCTTCCCTGACTTAAACTTGATTGCACCACCTGTAGAGAAAATGCCAATTTCAATGTGATTGTATACCCTACAGCATCTAGATTATCAAGGGTATCTGTAATGTGGCCACCCTAGACTCCTACTCTACCATAGCTTCCGTCTGAGCCCAGTTTGAATCTCACCAGGATATAAATAGCCGTCCAATCAAATTACAGTATTCACTATTGAAACAGCCAAAGATGCTATAATGGCACTTGTTTTGTTGCTGGCTGACATAGATAGGTTATGAAACAGCTGATAGCTCATCTACATCCCAGCCCATTGTAGTAATTCTTTCATAGATTTTTGTGAAAATGCGTAATATCTTCTCCAGTCATTCTCTCACACGCCCATGTATTTACTCGCGATAGGTGAAACAGCTGATAGCTCATTACTCCCAGCCCTTAACTCGCCATAGGTGTTGACAGAGTTATCTGCCCTGAAAGGTTCCTTGTAATATCTCCTCCACTCATTCTCACACACCCATCCACCCACTCACCATAGGAGCTAACAGAGTTATGTGCCCTGAAAGATTTTCATGATATATCTTCTCATTCACCCACTGACTGACTGACTCTCTCACCTACTCACTCACCAAAGGTGCTGACAGAGTTGTCTATCCCTGAAGGGTTTCCATGCAATATTTTCTCCCCAAAGAAAGCCCAAGAGTTGATGAGAACCCGCTCCTCCTCTGACCACTGCCCGTCTCCCGAAGGGGTGGAGATGATCCCCGACAGCTGCAGTAAACTGGCCGCCAGACACACAGAGTAGGAAGCTGATGACCCCAGGCCAGCACTGACCGGCTGGATGGACACCACCTTGAGATCTATAGCCGGCACAGTGCTGGAGACAATGACGTCCACAAGTTTATACACCATCACTCAATACACTAGATGCTGCATCACAATCACAGCAATCTTCTTTTAGAGTTCTGCTTCAGAAAGGAGCACAACCACCAATTTCAGTCTATGTGAAACTTGTTGCCATGGAAATGCCAAAAATATTTTATTCAGAAATCAAAACTACCAAAAGGCACCAGTACACCACCGGACCAATCTATGTGCCAAGTTTGGTGATGAAATAGTGAACAGTTTTAGAGTTCTGCTCCGGAAAAGAGCACTAACACCAATTTCAGTCAAAGTCGAACTTGTTGCCATGGAAACGCCAAAAATATTTAATTCAGAATTCCAAAACTACCAAAAGGCACCAGTACACCACCAGATCCATGTATGTGCCAAGTTTGGTGAAGAAATATTGAACGGTGTTAGAGTTCTGCTCCGGAGAAAACAAATGTGCACGGACGGACGGACGCACGCACGGACGGAGTCCATTTTAATACCCCCCGCAAAACGCGCTGCGGGGGATAATTATTAACAAATATCAGAGACGTAACTTTGAGCTAAAATGCCAAAAACGACTAAAAGCAATCAGCATATTTCACGTCACTCATGAATGGTAACATATTTATGCATGGATGACTAACAAAACAGTGTCTTGAACATATATTTTAGAGGCAGCCCATGAATAAAGACCTGCTTTTGTGTATTGTGCGAATAAACAAACTCTCTTTCGTCACAAACGTTTATGCATGATAATATCGATAGAACAAATTTCATATCAATAATCTTTGATAATTCTTCCCATAGATGATATTTCTGATTATTGATCTTTTTAGCCAGAACTGCATAGATATGAGAATGCTATCACAGATAGCTGTATGCACCTCCACTCACCCGTTGTGTGCAGCTAATGCACAGTATAGATACAAGAATGTTATCACAGCCAGCTGTTTGGTGTCGGATTCATTTTGGTGCACACCAGCAACATCTTTCAACAATGTCAGAAGTTCTTCGGAAACACCCACTGGCTTGTTTGGATCACACAGAGGCAGCGAAACTTGTGACTTGATTCTGTCAGTTGTCCAGGATCTCTTGATGGTGATGTTTGGGAGATCGAGACTGATATTGTTGTCTGCACTTCTCCTCAACAGCAAGTATGTCCTCAGATTAAGACTTGCTGCAATCGCTACCTGAAACATACACATACTTATCAACATTATTATTATTAACATGAATATAATGCACCAATGGTTATAGATCTTTCTCAATCTATGTTTATAAAAATATTGTTTCACAATTAAAGCGACTCGATTTACATATATATAGTTTTTGGTTATGAAATGTTTGAATGTACTTTTACTTACGTTGGTAATATAAATACTAAGCCAAATACCGTATGAGAATATTTGTTCACACTTTACTTGTCTTTCGACTGTTTCCCCATGACATTATAACAAAAACAGTTTTTTCCCATGTCATGGAAAAATAAGCGCATATGCCATCACAGTGCCCGCACCCCAAAAACAAACAGACATGATATTGCATGATATATATGGCGTGCTCCAGTCGTAAAAATCTAACAATGTCAGTAACTATATCCCATATTCTCACCTTTCCATAAACAACCGCATGTTCACCGTGCAAAATTACTTTTCCAGGAGCAGAAACTGTTATGTCCTCCATGACTGAATAAAAACCAACTGACACCCGTCCGAGTTAATTAGTCTCACTGATCACAACACGTGTGGTACCGACAACAGCTGATGAACACGTGGTTATCACCTCATGTTTGTTTACGCGGAAGTCGAAATGCAAGAGAACGACATACTACCTAGAGCAAAACAACCAACACATGGTAGACTTATCTGAACGACCTCTACTGATACTGCCCATCGAAAGCCCAACATTTGCATATTTAGTCTGAAATATGGGGGCACATTCAATAGTTGAACAAAGCATTATCTTGTACTTAATCCTAAGCAAACATACAAGAATAATGCGCGAAACTATAGAGACCGAATGATTAGCAAACTCAGAGACTATATTATATAGTCTCTGGTAAATTATCTTGGCTATCTTGGTTCGTTGTGATGTCTGATTGTTAACTGTGCGTGTCTGACTTGAAACATAACTATATCGAACATTTTACAATGATTACACGATCATGATTTACATCTTCTCGAAAAATGAAACGAATATACACACATTAAAATTTGCCCTGCACATTTCATTGTAGTTAGTTGTATGGAAAGTAGTTGAATAACAAACAACATGGCAGCGCCCTTGTGAAGTTCGTAAATTCGTCTGCTTTTCTCATACCTGATCATACAACTCGGACAATGAGACTTCTGCTGAGATATTCATCACTTCTCCTTTCTGCGGCAAGAAAAGCACCATGTCAAACTACTGTGTAAGCCTCACTTATCAATTAGCGATGATCATCTCAGACATCTGTCATCATTTGATAATATAGCCTACTCCTGTGCTTCATAGCCTATGATTAGGGCCATTGCATCCCTCCAGTGTTAGGCAAGAGCGCAGTTTATTTGGGGTGCTGAAGGGGTCGGTGTCGGCACGGGTACTTCAGCTATGTACCCAAGAAAGGCAACCTTGCCTCAGAATACAGAACGTACCCGTCGACGACTCGACGAGTTCTTTCTGCGCTGTTTTGATCGGAACTGCCACTGTATGAGATGCACACGACTGCGTTATATAAGAAACGAGTGACAAATATTTCTCTACAGTATGCACGATATCGCTCGTAATCAGGCAAACGGGATCTCTCAGATGAACCGGTTTCGGTTTGGGTTTGAGCAATATGGATTCATCTGTCGTTCTTGGTACCGGGTACGTTTATGAATGTATTTTGACTTTGGGTCGGGTGCATTACTGTATACAGAACGTACTTGGTGTGCATATCTGTTGTACCCGTGCTGACAACATGTCAATTGGTGTTACAGCGACTGGCTGTAGTCGCTTTCACACCAACTGACTAATGTTCACTGATCTTCTATTTTCACATGCATTTACTATCCTAAGTTCATTGTGTTTCGTGGTCAGGTTTCTGTTCAATAAGTAAGTTATTCTAAAGTTAAAAACTAATTGTGAAAATGTCAACACAATTTATTATTTACTCATGACAATGACATAATCAATATATGTTTCTTGGGATGTCATCAAGGTAATATTCAACAGACATGATCAGTGAGTTAATTGTATGCACAGCATGCCAGCTGTCACTCAGTATATTTTATTATTGTGATTGATTTTATTCAATATTTACAGATAGCAGAGTCTGGTCATATGATTAAAAAACAATCCTAGTATTAATTAGATTATTATTACAAATGATAAATGTTATGAATACTTGTGAAATAAAGAATTTAGTATGAGTTCTGTGTATATTTTATACTTAGGTAATTTTGCTTCAGATGTATCAAACCACATAGAAGCTATACAAAGATCTACACCAGAACTGGGGATAAAGGTAACACATTATTCATGAAGAGTTGATTAGCATCTACACTCTGCCTCTGTGGCAATAAAGAAGTTGTCAATCCATAAAATTTGTTCCTATTCATCATACCAGCTTCTAGATGCCACTTAAAGAAATTATTCATTATGTTGAATATGTATATGTGCCTGATTTGTGAAAAGCTTAAAGAATTCCATGTTTTCAACTCAGATGGCATGTTAGAACTAACTAAAGAAAAAGTTAAGGCAGTGTATTTTGTTATTACTTAATGTTGTTTCGTCATACAGGAACCTCTGCCACATTTACTGGTGAACGACGGGCAAAGGATAGTGACATATTCATTGCTCTGGGAACGACAGATGAACTGTCTTCATCCATAGGGTAAGTTATGTTCGGCCATTGTGAAGACATCTTCAGCCATTGCTACTTCATGTTTAGCCATTTTGTAGGGCTGTTCCCATTTTTATTTGTAATCATAAATAAAAGTTGTTATTAAAGCTTAATGAAGCATAGTGATTTTGATGTGTATTTGCTCTATAAATCAAGCATTACCTCGATTATAAGTATTTTTTTGTTTAAAAATACTTCATGCAATATATTGCAATACATATCGCAATACATGCTTTGCATCGCAATATATCGCAATATGAAAATTCTTTGCAATACCCACCCCTACCATTTTGTAAGGCATGTTAGAATTTGTTAGTACTACATGTTCAGTCATGGAGGAAGATATGTTCAACCACATGGCAAGTGAAGTTCAATCTTGTGTAAGTTATGGAGTTGGGTAAGTGATGTTCCACAGTTAAAACCATACAGCAGGTAAACAATATATCATTATGCTTTTCTCTTTTAAGCCGGACAAATGACAAAGTACAGCATCTAAGGTCAAAGTACAATCTTTGATATTAACACAGTCTCCGTAATGACCTTCTTTGTGAATCATGTTAGAGATAAGCTCATACTTTGAAGTTGTTGACCTTGTTTTGAACAAAGCTCAACTAGCGACTTGCCTTGTCATCAGATTGCAACAATTGCTGAAATGTTTGAATTGGTTCAAAGGTGTTTTAATTGCTATAGTGTAAATTTGTTGCAGATTAGCAAGTGAATACTGTGAAGAGGCTGGTCACAGTGTCATTGATAAGCTTCAAGAGGTGAGTTTTTGTTAAGATAATTCAGATATGGTGTAGATAACCAAGTTCACAGAGGACAGTTATTGTGCCTAGGTCAACGGCAAATGACAGTAGGAATTCTGAGTAGAAAGATTCAAGTTTCAAATGAACACTTTTAATGTTATTGTGATAATAACGTATGTTTTAGTTTTGCAAAGGTGATGTGTATGTCACTCATGAGAAGGGCTGTGATGTAACATGGTGGTTAAAGTGCTCTGCCAAATGCCTGGTACACTTTTACTTAAACGAAATACCTGTAAAATTTCAAACAATAAGGAGAAAATAGTGTTATCATTTCCCAGCTTTTTTCCACAAAAAATAAGTTGAAATTGTCCCGTTTCGGCTAACAGCATTAATCCTGTTAGATTCAGTGTATGTTGTCCTGTTTCAGCTAACAACATTAAACACTGTTCTTTGTTCATCCTGTTAGATCCAGTGTATGTTGTCCTGTGTGGCTAACAGCATTAAACACTGTTCTTTGTTCATCCTGTTAGATCCAGTGTATGTTGTCCTGTGTGGCTAACAGCATTAAACACTGTTCTTTGTTCATCCTGTTAGATTCAGTGTATGTTGTCCCGTTTCAGGCTACGACATTAAACACTGTTCTTTGTTCATCCTGTTAGATTCAGTGTATGTTGTCCTGTTTGGCTAACGACATTAAACACTGTTCTTTGTTCATCCTGTTAGATCCAGTGTATGTTGTCCTGTTTGGCTAACAGACATTAAACACTGTTCTTTGTTCATCCTGTTATCTCCAGTGTATGTTGTCCTGACAGCATTAAACACTGTTCTTTGTTCATCCTGTTAGATTCAGTGTATGTTGTCCTGTAATGGCTAACGGCATTAAACACTGTTCTTTGTTCATCCTGTTAGATTCAGTGTATGTTGTCCGTTTATTCAGATTAAACACTGTTCTTTGTTCATCTCTGTTAGATTCAGAAGTGTATGTTGTCCTGTTCAATATGGAGCATTAAACACTGTTCTTTGTTCATCCTGTTATCTCCAGTGTATGTTGTCCTGTGGGCTAACAGCATTAAACACTGTTCTTTGTTCATCCTGTTATCTCCAGGTAGTTGTCCTGAATGGCTAACAGCATGAATAAAACTGTTCTTTGTTCATCTTTTCAGTGTATGTTTGTCCATGTGCAGCATTAAATTAAACTGTTCTTTGTTCATCCTGTTAGATTCAGTGTATGTTGTCCCGTTTGACTAACAGCATTAAACTGTTCTTTGTTCATCCCTATTTGAATTCAGTGTATGTTGTCACGTTTTTCTGGAGCTGAACTCTGTTCTTTGTTCATCCTTCACCAAATTCAGTGTATGTTGGTCCTGTGTGGTAACAGCTGGTGTTCTTTGTTAGTCCTGTTAGATTCTGTGTATGTTGTCCTTTTTGGCTAACAGCATTAAACACTGTTCTTTGACATTCAGCCTGTTAGATTCAGTGTATGTTGTCCCGTTTCGACAGCATTAAACTCTAAAACCGTTCATCCTGTTAGATTCAGTGGTGTATTTTGTCACGTTTGTGGCTAACAGCATTAAACACTGTTCTTTGTTCATCCTGTTAGATTCAGGTGTATGTTGTTTTGTGCAATTCTGAATTAAACACTTTTGTTCTTTGTTCATCCTGTTATCTCCAACAAATGTTGTCCTGTGTGGCTAAAACAGAATTAAACACTGTTCTTTGTTCATCCTGTTAGAGCCAGTGTATGTTGTCCTGTGTGGCTAATGGCTTTAAACACTGTTCTTTGTTCATCCTGTTAGATTCAGTGTATGTTGTCCCGTTTCGGCTAACAGCATTAAACACTGTTCTTTGTTCATCCTGTTAGATTCAGTGTATGTTGTCCCGTTTCGGCTAACAGCATTAAACACTGTTCTTTGTTCATCCTGTTAGATTCAGTGTATGTTGTCCTGTGCAGCTATCGACATTAAACACTGTTCTTTGTTCATCCTGTTATCTCCAGTGTATGTTGTCCTGTGTGGCTAACAGCATTAAACACTGTTCTTTGTTCATCCTGTTAGATTCAGTGAATGTTGTCCCGTTTCGGCTTACGACATTAAACACTGCTCTTTGTTCATCCTGTTAGATCAAGTGAATGTTGTCCCGTTTCGCCTAACAGCATTAAACACTGTTCTTTGTTCATCCTGTTAGATCCAGTGTATGTTGTCCTGTGTGGCTAATGGCTTTAAACACCGTTCTTTGTTCATCCTGTTAGATTCAGTGTATGTTGTCCCGTTTCGGCTAACAGCATTAAACACTGTTCTTTGTTCATCCTGTTATCTCCAGTGTTTGTTGTCCGTTTCGGCTATCGACATTAAACACTGTTCTTTGTTCATCCTGTTAGATCCAGTACATGTTGTCCCGTTTGGCCTAACAGCATTAAACACCGTTCTTTGTTCATCCTGTTAGCATGGTTAGATCCAGTGTATGTTGTCCTGTGCAGCTATCGACATTAAACACTGTTCTTTGTTCATCCTGTTAGATCCAGTGAATGTTGTCCCGTTTCTGCTAACGACATTAAACACTGTTCTTTGTTCATCCTGTTAGATCCAGTGTATGCTGCAAGATGTGGGATCCTGCATCGCTACGCCGACTGGTTCCGCCAGGGAAGCTCACAGAAGTAGGTGAAACAGCCTGTACACATAGAGATAAGTGAACAAACACACACTGGCATAGAGACACTCAGAGATTCTTAGGACACATGCCTATACCTACACCCTCACACACACACCCTCACTCGCATGCACAGTCACACAGACAGATGCACACACAAAGACACTGACATGGATCTAGACTCAGCCATGCCTACACCCTCCTTTACAGACATACACACATTCACACACACAAAGGCACACAGAGACATAGACACAGACACACAGGAGGGGTGCATTAGGCGGGTACTACAGATATATACCAACAGAAATGTACCTTAGCCATAATGAGGAATACAAGACGTGTACGATTCCATTCCCATTGTGTCATTATTCTTGACGGAACTGTCATACCCTTAGATACATTTGATTGCGTATGTAAGTAATGAGAATACACAGTAGCGGATATTTCGCGATGCACATGAATACCATTCGCAATCATTTGAAACGGGAACACCTACATACAGTTTAGCTTTTTGGGATTATGGAATATGGACTCGATCACACCCTCCTTTTTGACTTTGTTTAGGGTACAAATCTGTATATAGACACACAGAAACACATACTCACTTTCTAGAAGAGAATATTGGGCTATATGCATCTGTTTTCTAACCAATATAAATATATACAACACAAGTTTATAGACATCATGGAAATGAAAGAATATCATTTACAGCCAGCCAGGTGAAAACACTGATTACCACTTATAATGAATGTAGATTGTTTGCAGATATTCTTTTTATTTCTTCTTACTAGCCTTTCCCATGTAATTTTTAGCATGCACCTAGTCTTCTATCATATGTGTAATTTATCTTCACAGAGAGGACAGAGTTCAGCAAGGAGTACGTGCAGCAGCTGGAGGCCTGGATTGATGCCCTGTCAGCAGAGTTACCTCCCCTTCAGAACTTCATCTTGCCTGTATGTAAATCTGTGTTGTTGTAGCTTGTTGAGTATGCAGATTTGGTCATGACATTTATAGCAACCGTATCACCAAGCGTTTGCTTGAAACAACCTTATGAACTGTCAAATTTAAAACTATTGATAGAGAGTATTTCTCGGCACCAAATGTAAAAAGTAAATGAGGAAGATTGGGTATTAGGTGTTCTAAGTTCTAATTAGAGATGCTGTTATTCCATATGGAGATACTGTTATTCTATGTAGAGTTACTGTTATTCCATGTAGAGATATTGTTACTGTTATGTATAATTTTAGTCTGGTGGGAAGACATCTGCCTCACTGCATGTTGCACGTTCAATCTGCCGGAGAGCTGAACGAAGGTAAATATTTACTAAACTCTTATTACGAGCGCGAGCCTTGACTGACTAATTTGTAATCTCACCATATCTGTGTCAGTTTAGGGATGACAGAGTAGACACAATTATGACTTCTGTGCTGATGTAATAGTACATTAAAACACTTGTTTCCATAAGTACCATCATATACTGAAGTTATCAACTGAAGTTCACATCATCGACCACTAGTTTGATGGGCCAGCTCTAGATTACTTGAGGGCCTTGATGACATGTCTGTGACATTGCTATTGAAAGGTCTGACTGACTTCCTCATGTTTTGACCCGTGAAGATCCGGGTTAGTATTGATCTTCAGTAACCCATGCTTGTCGTAAGAGGCGACTAACGGGGATCTGGTGGTCAGGCTCACTGACTTGGTTGACACATTGTATCCCAATTGCGTAGATCGATGCTCATGCTGTTGATCACTGGATTGTCTGGTCCAGACTCGATTATTTACAGACTGCCGCCATATAGCTGGAATATTGCTGAGTGCGGTGTAAAACTAAACTCACTCACTCCTCATGTACTGTATATATATATCCTACACACAAAAGGTTAAGGCAACCTGATTCTTTTGTATTAATCAGTTGATCTGTTGTGGCAGGTGGTCTTTTTGTGAACAGTACAAATCTGCATTTCCAACTTTAACATGAGATTCCTGCTACACAGTGTGAGTCTGTATTTCAGTGTGACCCCTATGGCGAGAGACGGGGAAATTGACGAAGAAGCACTGAAGTTCCTTAACAGGTTTGTACAATATTAAGTCAGATCTGACAAATGATGTTTTTTGAAAATACATGTGAAACATAACTGTTAATAGACAATGGTAAGAGAGACCTGAATGACTATATTTCATGTTTTAATGCTAAATATATTTTCATCAAGTACTTTATACATGGATACGGAAAAAATGATGCAGACACACTGATGTTTGACATTGACCTTTGTGTATGTGTCAAGGCTGAGTGACTTCCTGTTTACCGCGGCACGGTACACCTGCATGAAGGAGGGGAAGACCGAGAAAATCTACAGGAGGCCGGACTTCAACAGGAAAGAGGAAGGCCCTTGACGGAGGAGAAGATTGAATAGATCTGTAGGGATGTGGTGAAGACCAAAGTCGTTGGCTGAATGTCAGTGCGACCTCACAACAGATTGGTACTGGTCACTGTGACCTCTCAACTGATGGGTACAGATGGGTACTGTGATCTCTCTCAGTCAGTGTGTGTGGTTTGTAAGAAACTGCTTGACAAAGAAGTGATGCATTGAAACTTATTTACAGGAGTATGATCTTTCAATGCCTGAAGTGATTTGTGAAGTGCCTCCAGTTATGTCTGCAAGTGTTTTGTGTCGAAATATTTAAACTTACTATGATCTAGGGCCAGTTACTTTCATAAGAATGTTATAAGTTATACAACAATGGTACAAATGATATAATATTGTTCTGACACGAAGGTCAATATTACTTTTGAGTGTATAACAGTGGTAAGAAATATGAAGACAAATCTATTTCAGGGCTCTTCTTTCCTGGTATCTCTACAATGTCAAAGTTGTTGTCATGTGGATAGTTTCTGTGGTAGCTATATATGGTAGTATAGAAAAATTGAAAGATTATACAGGATTATGTTAAAAGACAGATTTAATGCTTCTCAAAATAGAAATATTTATAACATTTTAGATGTTAATAGTTTCACACTTGACATACTGTGTCGCATTATGTGTTATGTATGGATATGTACTTAGCACCACCTATACCTACACACAGATTCATGGAGAAGATGTTGGCCTTCACGACTCATTGACTTAATGTATGTTAAAGATTGGTGGAATTTGTACAAATTAATATAACATATTTTGTAATCTGATCAGTCTGAATATAATAGATCTGTCATGTCTATTAAACCTTTTATAAAATATTCTGAATTCTGTAATAATTGCATTCATGAATATTTTACTGTTTACACAATCAACTATGTGACAGATAAAGGGGTTTTCAAGATTAATTGGTTTTCATAATCTTCCTGTATGATGCTGTCCATTTAGATACTGTGTGGTAGTTAAAACATACATAATAACACCAGTGAAGATTCGGGTTAGAATTGGTCATCAGCCATCCATGCTTGTCACATGTCATCGTATCTGAGCTGCGTCACCCGACGCTCACTCTGTTAATCACTGGATTGTCTGATCTGGTCTATTAGTTACAGACATCTGCCATAATGCTGAAATATTGCTGACCCGTGAAGATTTGGGGTAGAATAGGTCTTCAGCAACCCATGTGCTTGCCATAAAAGGCGACTATGCTTGTCGTAAGTGGCGACTAACGGGATCGGGTGGTCAGTTTCGCTGACTTGGTTGACACATGTCATCGGTTCCCAATTGCGCAGATCGATGCTCATGCTGTTGATCACTGGATTGTCTGGTCCAGACTCGATTATTTACAGACCGACACCATATATAGCTGGGATATTGCTGAGTGCGGCGTAAAACTAAACTCACTCACTCACTCACTCACTCACTGAAATATTGCTGAGTGTGGCATAAAACAAGAAACAAATACATAATATAGTTGGGGAAATGAGTGTGAGAGAGTGTTATCTCATCAACTATATTCTGGCTGTATCAAGGTTGTCTGTTAGTATTGAAGTACCGGTAATTGCCCAGGGTGGTAACTAGAACTCCGATCAGTGTAGGGTATGATGCCAAATATTATACGGTTTATAATGAATAAAAGTCTGCTTGTCTCAGGCATAATAAAAGCAAAATACCTATGGATGAAAACTTTTATTATGTTATGATGGGGACATTTCGGTATAGAGTCCTATACCATTGCCAAACAAGAGTGAAATATTACAGCATAGAACAGACTTATAAACATCTAATGGAGATTACCAAATACAGGATGGTAATATTCATGAAAGGATTAACAACAACAGTGGATATTTGTGATTAAAACAGTGGTGAGTGAGTTTAGTTCTACGCTGATTTTAGAATATTCCACCAATATCATGGCGGGGGACACCAGAAATGGGCTTCACACATTGTACCCATGTGTGGAATCGAACCCAGGTCTTTGGCATGACGAGTGAATGCTTTAACCTCTAGGCTACCCCACCGCCCTTATTAAAACAGTAACAACTGGAGGAAGCCAACTGTTTGTGAGGTGGTACAATATATACAGTGCTGACATGATCAGTTAGGGATGAGAGCTGGAGGGGGCTGTTGTATTATCAATTTATTATATGCTGACGGGATGAGGTATCATTGATCTTTGTTGATTGAAGGCTTGTGTCATTGGACATTGCCAGTTTCCTGTTGGTGAAGTCACAGTGGGTGTTAAGTAAGATGATTACATAGTTCCATTTGATCTTGTGGTTATATGGTGAGAGATGGCTGAATTGTGCACATTGTGGCCTAATTTGGTAAAAGAAATTAAATATTAATTTATTCTGATGTTGTTTCTGATTGAATGGGACAATGTAAAAACTCATCAAACACCATCCATGACTTCACTGAAAGCATGTACAGGAATGTTGGTCTTTAGATCAGCTTGTTCTTGTAATCCTGGTCTTGTTGGCCTCACAATGGTTCTGTACGACAATTGCCAGTAATCAGAGTTTGGTAAACTGAAACATGCCCTTAAATCCTCAAAATTCAAAACTACCCAACATCAACCACAAGACTCTACAGCTCTAAGTGAACTTAACCATACCTCCACTTGAATCTACCCAATCTCAATCAATGTCAATTCATTGCCACTTGATGTCTACCCATCCCCACTGGATGTCTACCCAACCTTGCTTGCTATCTAACTAACCCCACTTGGTAGCTACCCAACCTCATTTGATATCTACCCAACCTTGCTTGGTGTCTACCCATCCTCACCTGGTATCTACCCAAACTCACTTGGTATCTACCCAATCCCACTTGGTATCTACCAAACCCCATTTGGTATCTACCCAACCCCACTTGGTATCTACCCAACCCCACTTGGTATCTACCCAATCCCACTTGGTATCTACCCAACCTCACTTGGTATCTACCAAACCCCACTTGGTATCTACCCAACCCCACTTGGTATCTACCCAAACTCACTTGGTATCTACCCAACCCCACTTGGTATCTACCCAACCCCACTTGGTATCTACCCAATCCCACTTGGTATCTACCCAACCCCACTTGGTATCTACCCAATCCCACTTGGTATCTACCCAACCTCACTTGGTGTCTACCCAAACTCACTTGGTATCTACCCAATCCCACTTGGTATCTACCCAACCCCACTTGGTATCTACCCAATCCCACTTGGTATCTACCCAACCTCAATCCCACTTGGTATCTACCCAACCTCACTTGGTATCTACCCAACCTCACTTGGTATCTACCCAACCCCACTTGGTATCTACCCAAACTCACCTGGTATCTACCCAACCCCACTGGATGTCTATCCAGCCTCACTTTGCATCTACCTAATCCCACTGTCATGCCGACAATATCTTATTCCCATCTATTTTTGTGATCTGTTGCTTAGTTTCTTCATTCAAATGTCGGGATAGTAAATTATCTTATTTTTTATCTTTGGGCTAGTAACTTTCTGGCATAGGCATAGCTAGCCCGACTGGCTAGCAAAATTTGGTAACTATTTCGCACATTGCTTAGATGACACTGTCATTGTATCCTGATAGCGAATGATGTTGATCACTGGATTGTCTGGTCTAGACTCGATCATTTACAGACCGCCGCTATATAGCTGGAATATTGCTGAGTCCGGTGTTAAGCAACAAGCAAAGAAACAATACAACTGAATAATGATTAATGACAAATAGAGGCGTTTTCAGCCCACGCCCATCACGTGACTACCATTGTAACATCGAGAACACCTTAAGACAAACCTACTTAGCTGGTAATAAACAACAGTGATATTTCTGTCCACCCAGCAGCGAGTAGACTGTCACTGTAGTCATAAGCGAAGTCGCCTCAATACTGACAACAGGGCCCACTTTCACAAAGCAACCTTAGCTGTAGTCACAGTCCCTGAACCACATTATTTTCCACACTGCCAAGCCCTCTCTGCAGTGCTAAAGCCCTAAATAAAGCAAGTCTAGATTTCTTCAGGTGAATCTCTGGTCTCCCTAGGGCTCCTTTTCAATTTAAATGGGCTTGTTTGTTACTATCAAAATTATATATATTCAGAGACTAAGCATTAGTCTACCTTAGCTGTACAACTTAGCTCTAAGCATTTCCCCACGCATAATGCATGCTCGAAGCGCCCAATATTCAAAGTCGCAAAGCACAGGATAAAAATAAGTTCATTTGATACACTTCAACGTGTAGGATAGGCTTTTTGGAACAGATAAGTTTTCAGGTATAATCTGAATGCTGAGTATGATGGTGCAGTTCTAAGAGTGTGTGGAAGGCTGTTCCATTCCGTGGCTGCATAGAACACCAAGGATCTTTGGCCAAACCTGATTGTTCTGAATCTGGGTACACATAAGAGGTTGTGCGACGCGGATCTGGGAGATCTTGCTGGTGTGTACAGCTGCAGTATGTCACAGAGATAGTCAGGAGCAGCACCAGTTACACACTTATAGGTGATGCAGAGAACTTTAAAAGCAATTTTCTGACGTGCAGGTAGCCAGTGCAAGTCCTTAAGCACAGGTGTGGTATGGCTAGACTGTGCATAGTATGGGAGTTACGACCACCTTAGCGTTATGATCGCTTTATAAACAACACCCTGGAGTGTTGTGTGAAGTGTTTACAGGGCACGTCTATCTCATACACAAACATCACTAAAACAATATCAATGTAGACTGTCAAGAACACTACACTCTCGAGAGCCGCTAAGTGTTTATGGAACCAGTGAGGACAGATTCACCGAGGGCAGATCTTAACAGAGACCTCTAATCTGGCTGACTGCTCTATTCTTCGCGGAGTGATAAGTAAATAACAATGAATGAGTGTGATTTGGGTTTACCGCCGCTTTTAAGTTTTACTGTTTTATCACACAGTGTCCGCTTAATCTTGGACGGAACGGTAGGGTAGCCTAGTGGTTAAAGCGTTCGTTCGTCACGCCGAAGGCCCGGGTTCGATTCTCCACCAGTACAATGTGTGAAGTCCATTTCTCGTGCTCGCGCCGTGATATTCCTGGAATATTGGTAAAAGTGGCGTAAAACCGCACTCACTCACTTATTTTTGGATAAAAAGTTGGAAGCAATGCGGGTCTCAAGCGTTTATCACTTTGGTGAAACCCACCAGTTATGGTGCTGACAAATAGGCAGTTCAAATGATGGGTTACTAGCGTGCCCAAGGTGCGTAACTCTGCAAGGAATTGCTACCACTCAGCCGTCTGGGCCACACTTGCTCAGAGAAGTGTGTGAGTGAGTTGAATTTTGCTCAGGTTTGAACAGTATATCCATTATATGGTTGTGTGTGGTCCTGTTAGCAGTTTGAAATTTTACTTTCCAATCTGGTGCATCTCGTGTGAATTCTTCATGCACAGATAGAAACACGCTTTCTGATGAAAGGTAACATGTTGCTGGAATATTGCTAAAAGCGGCGTAAAACCAAACTCAGTCAGTCAGTCTTGGGAAATAACAAAGCTGTCATCATATGTGTCATCATCATATGCTAGGGCCAAGGGTTGTCCAAAGGTCTACATCCTTATTTCTCTATGCAGAGTAGCATCCCTTACACGTACCAGGATTCCATGAGGTCGAAACCCAGACTTAACCTGATTCACATCCTTGGTATATTCAACACTGTCCTCGTGGTTTTCACCGGACCCATAAGCATCGGAATGTCTCACATCAAACTGAAACCTTGTTTAATGATCGAAATGTTCGAAGCGCCGGTAAACCAACTTTGTCTGTCTATATATTTATTTAGACAAACACATGCACGCACAAATATACGTATGTATATGTGTGTAAATATGTGTGTGTGTATATATGTGTGTGTCCATGTCTAAATTTTCTGTTTTACAAACTAAATAAAAATGAATGAATGAATGAATGCTGGACTCTACAGGGTTGAAGTAGCTGCCCGCAATTTGGCCTATCTTCGAAAACTAATCGATTGCTTGACAGGTGAGTAATGTGCCTACACAATTAGTGGCGGTTGGTTTGTTTCTAACAGGTAAGATTAGGAGACTTCTGCAAGGAAGGAACATAAACAGATTGGTTGAAACAATACTTGTGGGAAACCATTGCCGTCTTACTGACAGGTCTGTATATAGTTACAATGAGTTATACACTCTGTCGGAAAGGTTGAATAATTTATATACATCATACACGAGCAATGCAACCTGATACCACATACTTCTGTATACAGCATTGTAATGCCCGACATAGAAATGCACCCTGAGCAAGTCCTACATTCAATAACACATTTCAAGAGGCGTTCACTCCATATTTGATTAATTCTAACGTACTGTTTACTGCCGACTTTGTAATACAAAATGAGTTTCAATTTGAAAGGTGCATGATCGAAACGCCGAGGTAAAATGAATAATTATTATCTGACCCTTTTTAAAGACGCGTTAAATGAGTGATATAAAGGGTTGGTTTAGATATTCAGTATATATAATCGTTGCGATTCCACGATTCTCTTGGTACAGCGTGTCATATAGACAGCTAACATAACAGCTATGTCAAGTCCTACTGTCAACACTGCAATATACAAGGGGGAGTGGCTTTGTAATATACACGTGCTGGTGCGTATGTCATAATTAGGAGACGGCGAGGCGGTACCTCGCTGTATTGAATGCTGAACTTCAGGACCGTGTGAAACTATTTGTTCGGGGTTGGGGGTCGACAGTGGTTGTCGGGATAACGGTGTAGGTGTGACGACGTCCGTGAGGGTGTACAACAACGTCAACGGTTGTGAAGAACGTGTAAACGGGCGATATGAATCCACTCATTTAGCTGATTTGTAATTGAAGAGAAAACTTCGTGGTTGTTTGTGAAGATACTTGTGGCAGTCCCTGTATTGACAGCGTGGTCAGAATGTTGGATTGGACTGGTCAGTCGGTCACCGGGAGCTGAGTGTGTGTTGTACATGGTTAACTGTTGTGTCTTCAAGGGAACAACACTGGCTGATACTTCGTATTGTCATGTGTATTATTGGACTGAACAATGCGATCTGAACACTTAAACCGAGCTGATTAATACCGATATCTGACACGGACAATCTGAACCGATCGTAGGAATCTGAACCGACTGTTGGGAAGTGAACCAGTTGATGGGATCTATAACGATTGTTGGAATCTACGCTGAGCGGAGTCAACTGTTGGGAACTGAATCGATTGTTGGAAGGAGGCCTGATGACTGGAATCTGAACCGATGTGAATTTGAACCGATCATAGGAAACTGAGCAGATTGTGGGAAAGTGAACCATTTGTTAAGATCTACAATTGTTGGAATCTGAACAGATCATTGCAGTCTGAAGCGATTATGGGGAACTGAGCCAATAGTTGGGAACTGAACCGATTTTGGGAAGGAGAACCGATGAATGGAATCTGAACCTGAGGTTAGAATTCGAACTGAACATTTTATTGAAACGTGAACCTTTTTTTTAATTTTCACCTGTTGTTGGAGTATGAACGTCTTCTGGAATCTGAGTGCTTTGACACGAGCACACCGTTGTCGTAAGACCTAATTTTGACGCAGACGAGAATATTACTTATGTCAGAAATAATTGTGAACTATAGCCATCATTAATGTAAACTTCTTACCACACGAGAAGACAAGAAAGGTTTTGTTCACTTAGAACTTCAGTCCATTTGATGTAGTTCTGACCAAGATGGATCCCAAGGTGCGTTAACTCCGAACCAGTTTGTTATCTCAGCAGGCCCGACCGACCAAACGTACTATAGGCAATACCGACACCTGACACCTACCAGATTGAACACATGGTACGGAAGCACATCTGAATGGTTCGCTGATAATCTAAATGTTTCGGAACAAGATCCTTTGCGGGAGAGGGAGATGCTACAAATTGAGATTAATCACAAATCAATTAAGACGTATCATATCATTGTGGAGGAGGCATCTCCGTCAGTGACAACACACACGTGAGTGATTGTCTCCGACTGCGTTCAGCCCACGAATCGATTGATGCGATCTAACGTGATCAGCTATCCCCGAACATATCTGGGAGGAAGCGCTATCATACCGGTCATGTGCTGAGCGAACATACACTGGCTTATTCAATTGAAACCTATTTTCCTTCACTGGCAATGCTTTACGTATACCTGTACATATTCATTTACTGACAGGAGGCAGGTAAATTGTTTATGTGTTTGGCGATGTTACTTTGAATCAAACATTTACAATTGTTTGTAAACAGGTTGTGATTCAGAGTCTGTAACTCAAATCACTGAGGTTTATATGACAACAGTGAAGGAGGCGAGAAGCGCCATAAGTTATACCTGCAGTCGAATCATATAATTATTTGGACTATAGCAAAATGGATGAGAGGTATCGGAACATCATGGAGAGGAACAGGATGCTCCTGACGAAGAACCTCATCCTCACTGACGACTTCTACGACTTGTTGCTGAAGGAGAAGGTGCTGCCACAGTCAATGATTGCTGATGTTAAGGTGAGTTAGTAAGATCTTTAGGACATTTGACTTTACGTTTGTTTGTTTCTAAACAAAATCATTCCACGGCCTTTTGAAACTCGAGTCTGGACCAAAGAAACCCACTCGTGAAGATCCGAGTTAGAATAGGTCTTCAGCAACCCATGCTTGTCGTAAGAGGCGACTAACGGGATCAGGTGGTCAGGCTCGTTGACTTGGTTGACACATGTCATCGCATCCCAATTGCTTAGATCGATGCTCATGCTTCTGATCACTGGATTGTCTGGTCCAGACTCGATTATTTACATACCGCCGCCATATAGCTGGAATACTGCTGAGTGCGGCGTAAAACAACAAATCAACCAACCAACCAAAGAAACCAGTGGTTGATATTATGACGAACGAACCACGTCCTCGGGGTACGATGCCACACAATAAGCTAAGTCATCGAGCCTGACCACCGATCTATTAAGTCGGCTCTTGCAATAAGCATATTATTTGCTGTGGAACCGCCATTCAAAAGACGTTGGTCATGACATTTATCTGTTATTATTTCTAATGTCCAATGTCCAAACGTGATTCTGTGATTATGAACCCGTCTGTGACGTTGTGTCTGTGACAGATATATGACGTTAAGGTGAGAGTCGTTTCTCGGATCATACCTGACGTCATTTCTGTGATCAGACATTTGCAATCTAAGTGAAATTCATTTCTTTCATCATATATATGTTCGCACCCCTAATTACATAGGTCGCCAGTGTAGAGTCTAGTGAGTGAGTGAGTATGGTTTTAGGCCGTATGGTATGGACGCTGTAGCCATTAGCCTATACCACCGCCCCTTCAGTGTGTTGACCGCCTCCGTGGTGTAGTGGTTAGAGCGTCCGCCCGGAGAGCGGAAGGTGGCGGGTTCGATCCCCGATCGCGTCATACCAATAAGACGTCAAAATATGGTACTTGTTGGTCCCTGACTGGCGCTCGGTATTAATAGGTACAATAAGGACTGGTCGGCTCGGAGTCAGTATAATGTGTCTGAGTGAGGTATTCATGCTTCACTGTGGCATGGTTTCTAAGTGGGCTAGCACTATAAAACCAGCTTAAGTGTGGGCTAGTACAAGCAGCCTCACATACACATACACATGCATGCACGTCGTCATATGAGCGAAATATCCTCAAGTACGACGTAAAACCCAATTTCACCTCACCTCACCTTCAGTGTGTTAACCCGCTGAACTACCATCGTGCACTTTACCTGGATATCCAACTCAGATGGAGTATACTGACTCTTTGCCTTGTCCCCTTAACGCGAGGCAGAGCAACAACAAGCACCACCTTTAATGTCCTTTGTATGACGTAGCCCCTCATCGAACCCCAAGTGTGCGCTCTACCGAGATCATATGATACGAGCTCAAATCTGTTGTCTATGTTGTTCCTACAGCATTATTTCTATCAGCTATCCATTGTGGATCAAAGTAATCCCATTTCGTAGAAAACTAACTGTACCAAATGTGGCATGGATATTTGCCTTCAGTGAGAACACAACGGGAACAAGAGAAGGTTATCATAAAATGTGATCAAGTGTTTATTTAACTACCTATAGTAAATCTAGAACAACAAAGGGTCCGAGTGGTCACACAATCGCCTGTGTTTGCCATACAATTGCTGTGTAAGCAATGGGGTCATTGCTATGTCAAGGGAGTCATATATTCCGGCTGCGGCTATACGCGCATTCAATATAGAAACAGATTGTTGAGCCAACTGCTGACCTTCATTTTCACAACCTACTCACACGCGCACGCGCGCACACACACACACACACACGCCACATAAAACACACACACACACGCACGCACGCAGCCTCACGCACCTGTTACGCAGACACGCAGACGCACACACACACGCGCGCCACATAAAACACACGCTCTCTCTCTCACAGAGAGAGAGAGAGAGAGAGAGAGAGAGAGAGAGAGAGAGACAGAGACACAATATAGAGAGATACACACGCATACGTACACACATACAGAGACTGACTGACTGACAGTTTGGTTTTACGCCGCTTTTAGCAATATTCCAGCAATATCACGGCGGGGACACCAGAAATGGGCTTCACTCATTGTATGTAGGATTCGAACCCGGGTCTTCGGCGTGTCGAGCCAACGCTTTATGCAGTCAACCCGACCCACCGCAAGGAGAAATCTGTTACCATTTGAGTTACCGATGTTCAGACAATGTATCAGAACGTAACACAGTTCTCGACCATTCTTACCGAGTCATAGGGACATACACTGACTTTTAAACGACCGACATACACTATGTAGATGTCAGTTATACACATGCAGTCAACCCGACAACGTCAAGGAAGAAATCTGTTACCATTTGCTGTTACCGATGTTCAGACAATGTATCAGAACGTAGGGTTCGACGCCGTTTAAAGGACTTTCTTAGTCAGTAATCTCCCTTGCCTCTGGAATCTGCCTCGGCCTGAGCAGGGTTCGACGCCGTTAAGGGTTAGCTTTCTGGTAAAACCCTTTCTAGCCACAACTGATTCTATCACATAGTTATGTCGTGGGTGAGTCAGTATATCGGAAAACCCGTCCACCTTGAACTACTCAGCGGCGCAATGACTTCTCCAAAAAGAGGTCCCCGTTAACATGTCATGTAGTTAGGTGATCGTATGGTGGCTTAGTTGATAGCGTGCCATCACACTCCAACAGCAGAGGTCGTTGGTCGTAATACCAATCAATGGTTTGACTGGTCCAGACTCAACTATTTACAGACATCGCGATATGGTTTAGGTATACTGTGGCTTCAGGCAAACAAACAAACAAACAAACAAACAAATAAACAAACAAAGCCACTGACAAGTTTCTCTGTAGTTTGGCTCAAGACTCTAGTTGGGCCACATCCCCAGATAGCATTCGGAATAGCCCAACGTTGGCAATGTTGGCAAAATCATTGCCAACGTTTAAACTGAGGGTATCTGTGTCTCCGTAAAAAGACGTCGTCTTCACAAAGTGCTAGACATGATTTAGACATGCTGGGTCTGAAGAGCAACGAACAGGCGTAATGTCTAACATTGAAGGTGCAGGTAATCCATGGCTACGGTTCCATAATGAAGAGCAAGGAACAGGCGGAATGTCTAACATTTCATCAGGGATTTCCTACCGGAACCTACGGCCAGTAAAGATCGCCGTGGCAGCATTGCCTTGCCGGACCAAATCCTCACTGATTATTCACCAGACATGTCCTTTTCAACAAAAGTCTTCAATTCTCTGGAGTATTCGATGAAGAGATGTTATCCATAGTTGATATATGAACTTGACTTTGCTGATGGGATGACTGGATCTGTTCCGATGCCCAAGTGGAATGTATGGATGTCACTCCAACTAGGACTGGGTATCGATGTAGATGATAGAGAGCGATAATCGTTAACTAAATACAGACCGATTATCGATAATTATAGGAGAAGTACCTTCGCAAAAATGCCAAAAAATCTCTGAAAGACATACATTTTTAGTAAATTTTTCCTTTAGACGATATTTCCGATTATCGATCTTATAGCAGCCCTCAAGTCAACTAGCAGTAACAGTTTGCATGACAGTTTGCAAGTTGAAGCAGAAGCTGAAAATAACATTCAAACCGTACATCGCTTTACTTATATTAGCTTATAGACAAATTACATATGTCTATTAAATGTATCGAGTCACGTCCAACCCTCCCCAACACCCACAGAAACACATACTTGAACACGAAACGCTCAGACACTTACACCAAGACATACGTGAACACATGCACCAAGACTCATACACAAAGACACATGAGAACACATACACCAAGACACATACACCAAGACACATGAGAACACATACACCAAGACACACGAGAACACATACACCAAGACACAAAAGAACACATACACCAAGACACATGAGAACACATACACCAAGACATGAGAACACATACACCAAGACACATACACCAAGACCCATGAGAACACATACACCAAGACACATGAGAACACATACATCAAGACACATGAGAACAAACACACCAAGACACATACACGAAGACACATGAGAACACATACACCAAGACACATGAGAACACATGCACCAAGACACATACACAAAGACACATGAGAACACATACACCAAGACACATACACCAAGACACATGAGAACACATACACCAAGACACATACACCAAGACACAAGCGAACACATACACCAAGACACACGAGAACACATACACCAAGACACAAAAGAACACATACACCAAGACACAAGAGAACACATACACCAAGACACAAGAGAACACATACACCAAGACACAAGAGAACACATACACCAAGACACATACACCAAGACACATGAGAACAAATACATCAAGACACATACACCAAGACACATGAGAACACATACACCAAGACACATGAGAACACATACACCAAGACACATACACCAAGACACATGAGAACACATACATCAAGACACATGAGAACAAATACACCAAGACACATGAGAACACATACACCAAGACACATACACCAAGACACATGAGAACACATACACCAAGACACATGAGAACACATACACCAAGACACATGAGAACACATACACCAAGACACATGAGAACACATACATCAAGACACATGAGAACAAATACACCAAGACACATACACCAAGACACATGAGAACACATACACCAAGACACATGAGAACACATACATCAAGACACATGCGATCAAATACACCAAGACACATACACCAAGACACATGAGAACACATACACCAAGACACATACACCAAGACAGATATATTTGACATCAGAAGACATGAGGATGAGATTCTATTTATCATAAAAAATCACTCTTCAATAGTTTTCAATGAAAAATGTACATCTCTGAACACGGTTCTGCCATTTTATACTTGAAGCGATGCAATGGTATTGTGACGTCATTAAGTTCATGACGTCATCACCTTGTCAGGGCATTGTACAAAATCTCATCCTCCTAGAAACACATT